ACAACATAATATGCCAATATATCTCCTCGTCTAGCTCACTGGTGTGGCCCAGGGTCAAGTCCCGCTCCACCACTCCAACCATTCCGCCAGCACGGACAACGGCGTCTCAACCGCAACCCAACACTAGGATTTATGCTCAGTATCGCCTCGTAATGGACCACTCCATTAGTCCATGCCCTCCGCCGGGAGGCGAACTCAACATCCAGGACTTGGAACTAATGATGCAGTGGTGCACCACTACCTACCGTTCTGTCTCGCGCAACAGCACCGTGGAAGGAATTTGGCAGGGCGTGGTCCCGCGCGAGGCAATGCGCCACCCATTCCTCATGCATGGTATTTTGGCCCTGTCAGCCCTACATCTGGCCTCCTCCACCTCCTCCACCACTGGAGCCAGCAAAGAGGAGTATCTGCGCACCGCCAAGAGTCATCAGCAACAGGCCGTTGCGGGCTTGGCCAAGGTCGCCGACCATCTAGACCGGTCCAATTGCAACGCGGCGTTTGCCCTCTCCAGCATCATGGTCGTCTTCGCGTTCGCCTTCCAGGGAAACCCAATTCCCACCGCCAACACACAACCTAACGCCTTGGATGCGCTTATGGACATTTTCCAGTTTACCAGGGGCTCCATTGATGTACAGGGCGAGATCATCGAATGGGTCGCGGATGGAGAATTCAGCGCTCTCCTAGAATACGACAACTCGCAGCCTAAAATGCCGGATACTTCGCGCTTGGCCATTATGTCTCTCTCTAGGCGAAATACTAACTTAGCGACCAAGGATCCGACGCACGAAAAGGATGTGTATGATGCGACCATCAATCATCTCGGATTCTCCCTAGACAAGCTCGCACGGGGAGGTGAGACCATGATCATCGCCTTTCAATGGATATTCCGGATTCCGTCGCGATATGTGCAATTGGTCCGGGAGCGAAAACCGTTCGCATTGGCGATTCTGGCCCACTACGCTGTCATCATCCACTCGTTGCGAGGGCATTGGTGGATTGGCGAGTGGGGGACTCGATTGATCCGTGACATTGGCCAGCATCTGGATGCCGGCTGGAGAGAGTCGATCAGTTGGGTCATTGACGCCACAGGTTGTTATATCCCTCCGGTCTGAACAAGCCCACCCGGCTTCTCTCTCCGACCACCCCGGATGTTCGCCTGAATCGCGCTTCACTCCACGACGCATGTCATCATAGCACTACGCACAATCTGCTACGCTGCAACCAGCGAAGCGCATGCACTTCCCGCAGCATGGGAAAGTCGCAGCAAATCCACGCTCTGTCTCGGGGGCGTACAGATTCTCAGCAACTAGCGTGGGCTCTTACCTTACTGAACACTGCGCTACTCTTCCTTTCCGCGATCGACTCTGGGATTCCAATACCTAGCCCCGCTCATTCAGGGATCAGAATCATTCATTTGTTCTGCCGACATTCCCCTAGAAGCAGAGTTTCGAATCCTCGACGCGCTTTCAACCTCCCACTCCTCAACTGAACCGCCCTGTTCATGAGAACAAAATACCACTGGATCCCGCCATGACAGCCAGCCTGTCCCCGACCAGGTCCCCACCCCAACCCAACACGGGCTCAATCGCAAAATAGAATACAGGGTGCTGGACATCTTAACGGAACGGCCATGACACATATACGAAGAAGTTTTTTCTTATAGGGTTTTTGTTGAGATGGAACAGCGTTGATCCTAGCTACCTGACCACTACTAACTAGCCCTTCCTCCATCGGTTTCTCCCCGCGCGCACTCCTCTTATAGCATACATTTTGGCCTTGTTCGTTCTATCATAGCGACCGCATCATCTATAATATATTCTTTTGGATAGAAGGAAAGACCACTACTCGGCATGCATACATCCATATGACAAGAAGATACAGTTTTCGTGCTCGAATTACGGTACCGTGCCGGTGTAGCTTTCTTTCTCTTTGTCCTTCTTTGGGCAAAACGGGATGGAAAAGGGTAAGATCATTTGGCTAAGATGGTATAAACTAAGGAGAATTCTGCAAGGGAAGGAGGGGAGGGGGGGATGCTATTCCTGATAAGCCCGTGCATTTTCATTGGAGACAATTTTGTTTCCGTTTTAGTGCCGTCACAAGCGAGAAGCATACAAATGGCCGACGACGCGCTGCAGAACCTATGATCCTTTTTTTAATGAGAAGGTAAGCATGCATGAATTATGGACAGGACAAAGGAAAAAAAAAAAAAAAAAAAAGAGCCACCCATCCTCCGCTGTTGCGAACGGATCAGAACAAACCCAGTCAACAAAACAACACAAACACATTGACCAAAACCATACACCGGCGCCTGTTTCCTAGTTTTGACGTAAGTCTACATGGGTATTGATTAAATAACATAATGTGTGAGAAGGCGAAAGAGAAGAAAGCAAAAGGAAAAGGGGACCGGCTGCTGCCTCCATGCAAAACCTCTCCACCAACATATGGCGAAGAAGGGAGCAGAGATTCAGAGAGTCGAAAGGAGATAAGGACCCCGAGAGGCCTCTTCAGGATCATCAGCAGCACCAGCGACACTGTGCCATTGACACCATCACCATCACCACCCCGCAGCATATTGTCGAACTCCCCTCCTTGACAAGGAGTCGAAACTGCCCATTAGTGACCAGACCAGAGTCGATCACAAATATGCAACCCCCAGCATCCACCATCGAGGGTTACCAAATATGTAGTCATGTTTGGAGAAGAACCAGAAAACCCGACCGGGGACAAGGCGAGCTACCTGTCCCACAGCGCTCTCGTCCGCCAGTAGTTGCCAGATACCGGCTGCCAACGACAAGCATATCAAATTTCTGAGGGAAATCAACTCCAAACGTGTGCTAGTCAACTGGACGAGGGTTGTCGCTCCTCGCTGGCCGGGCGACTCTCGCTACTGCTGAGAGCCCCCGAGGCCACTGCCGCCGCAGGAGAAGGAGGATGCGCCGCCCCGGCCGTGTGCTCGAGATCCTTTCGGCGATCCTTGGACTGGGTTCTCACGCGGGCCAGCTGGGCCTCCTGGGTCTTGACGCGCGCCAACTGCGCCTCGCCTTGTTCGCGCATGCGCTTCTCTTCTTCGGGGGTGGGGAAATATGCGTTTGCGACGCCGCCTGTGGGAGATGGAGATGGAGATGGTTAGCTTTTGGGACGACGAGGCATTTCCATCTCGACTATAATCGGGAAAACGGAGAGAAAGAGAGACGAATCAGGAGCAAGAAGGTTGGAAAAAGAAAAAAACCCACCTCGTCCGGTATGATGCGGCGCCTCCTCCATGCGCAACGGCGGGGTCTCGACGTCCTGCAGTTCGCGCGCCAGTTCGGGATGTTGCGGGTCGTTCTGCATCATGTTGCCGGAGCCGCCGCGGCCGGTGGTGAAGACATCTTGCTTGATGGTCGGGGTGACGAGGTCCTTGGTGGTGGTGCGCGATTCGCCGGTGCCGGAGAAGATGTTCCCTGTTGGGATTTGGGGAACGATTTAGCTAACGGGTTCTTGGTTTCTTGCAGTGTCCAGTGTCCCTGGGGGGGGATGACCGGGGCAGGAAGTAGTGAGTGGGGTCTTTGGGGGATGGGAGTTAGAAGACGTACCCGCGCCACCGCGACCATGAGAAATATTCCTGCCCATGACTTTTTTTCCGCAGCGGGCGATACCGTGGAAGACTGTGGAAAATAATGAGATTGGCGACAAGGGGAAGAGATAGTCAAGGCGCCTCGATTCGTGCTGTTTGCGAAAAGCAAGAGATTAATGGCACGAGACGGGAAAAGAAGTTGCGATCGGCTTGACTCGGTTCAAGGTTGAAGATGGAAATTGTCCGGACGGGTGGTTTGCTGGTGGTCGCTCGACTCAGCTTTCGGTTGGCGAACTGGCGAACTGGCGAACTGGTAGGAAGAGGGGTGTACGAAGGATGATAGATATGCTCCCACCAAGGCCGTTGATTATTAAAACGGTGAGACACAACACGAGAGAATGGGAAGTGAAATTCGAAGAAGAGAAGAAATAAAATCAATGGTGGTGGATGATGCGATGAGAGAGCCAAGAAGCAGCAGCAGCAGCAGCAGTTGCCCGTCGGGGGTCAAATGACGTCCGTTTTTTTTTTTTTTCTTGGGCAATTGGCAATGAAGTGCCCGCAACGGGCTCCGTCTTTCTTTCTTTCTTTCTTTTACTGCGCCTATTTTACTTCTTGCCTCGAGGATAATCAAGTGGTACCTACCTTTATAAGGTATAGTATGAATTAGGCATCATGACCATCTCTAAATCAACCGACACAGACAAAGTCAAGTAAGGTTGGCTCTTGATTCCCCCCCGCCCGCTCGATACAACTGAGTTTTTGATTTTTGACTTTTGTTTTTATAATTTCTTTTCTTTTTTTTTGCTCGGGGAGTTTCAGTTTCTCTTACCTCACTGCTATTCCAGCCCTGCCAGGTGACCCGATAGTGATACTTAGTTGAATTGTTGTACGGAGACAAGAAGTACAGTACAGGGGGCATTAATTAATGTCTGTCCACCCCCGCGCTTTCTTTCTTTCTAGACTGCCCAAGGTACCCTTCCAAATCTCCGGATCTCCCGTCCTTCTAGCCGGTTACTGCTTTGGATCGAGGTCTGAGTGGATCCCTTTACCTAGTATCCAGTATTCCTCACCTAGGACCCCAACAAGCTTACTGCTTTTGGGGGAGGGGGTCCAGGTGACTTGTCTTGAATATTAAGTCCTAAGTCGAGTTGGAACTAAGTGGTTCGTAGGCACGATAGGATTGTCTGTTCCGGCACAGATGTGTATTGAGTGTCTTCTACGGGCATGGACTGAATGAGGCCTGAATTGCACTATGCCAGAGTACTGTGATGGTGATGATCAGTTACAGTGTGGTGCCCTATCTCCTTGGAGACTATACACCCCGCGCTTTCCCGCCATAGCTCGATCGCAGCTCAAATCCAGCCGTAGATGCAATTGGATCACCCGTGTGACGCAGGGATGCGCGTTGAATTAGCAAATGCATACCATCGTCGTCTTCTTGCTGAACACGGCATGCATGTCATGCCAGCCGGATGTAAATTTCGGTCTGTACTCTATCTAGGAAACTGCACTAGTATCACAAGAACAAAGATCGCTGGAGGCAAAAAAAATAAAAAATAAAAAAAAAGCCATACATGGTGACCCCGATGCGGTACCCCCTATCATATACACAAGTCCTTGATTTCCATATTAACATCCGAAAGTCGAATTGGAAAAAAAAAACGCAAAAGTCATTCCCACATATATCATTATAAGATCGCTTCCTCCGTGCTTGCACTTGAGTTTCGGAATGGGGCAAAGCTGACGGATCCCCATACGCTTTTTGGTCGGAGAACACCTTCCACCCAGCGGGAAGGTGGCTCTGGAAAATTCACATATCAAACCATCGATACGAGTCTCGTATATATGCCTCCTCAAAGCCCATGCTCCAGACGCCGTGGGCGCCCTTGACGCGATACGGGCCTTCCCACTTCCACGTCTTCTTCTTCTCCTTGTACGAGACGGCGCCGACATGCTGCATCTGCGAGGGGGAGATGGCCAACCGGTCCAGCCCTTCCTTCCCGGCCAGCATCTCGATGACACTGTCCACCGCCTTGGTGGGGACCTTGTCCTCCCGTTCGGCCAGGTACCGCAGGAGTTCCGGCACGTGGGCCCGGTTGTAGAGCAGGGCCTGGGAGCAGCAGCCGTGCGCGTTCATGACATGCACGCCGGGCTCCATGGGAAACCAGGTGACGCGGCCGGTCATGAAGAAGAGGCCGATGAGGGCGGGAACGCAGAGGAAGCAGACCACCAGGAGGAAAGGGTTGGTGAGCACGCCCTGGGTGGCGCGGACCTTGCGGCGGGCGACGAGGGCCACCCAGGCGACGCCGGCGACGGTCAACGCGCTCCAGAAGAGGTAGACGGGCCAGCTCTCCGAGTTCCAGCCCAGGAACTTCTCCGTGTAGAACAGGCGCACGTACAGCCAGTCCGTGGGGAGGAGGCCGCGCTGGCGGCCGTCCTCGATGCGGCGCACGCTCTGCATAGTGTGCTCGTACCAGTTGCGCTGGGCCACCACGTCGTCCTCCAGCATGATGATCCAGGGGGCGTCGCTGCGGTCGTAGCAGGCCTGCAGCCCCAGGCGGTAGTCCAGCAGCGACTTGCGCTTGATGTCCTTCTGCTTCTCGAGGCGGGCGATCGTCACGTGCGGCGCGTCCACCGTCTCGTACGTGAGCACCTCGTCCACGATCGTCGACAGCCACGTCTGGTTGTAGTCCGGGTGGTCGGCGGGGTCGCTGAGCGCGAACAGCACCTGGATGGTCAGCGCGCGCCGCTGCTCCGGCGTCAACGTGTCCTGGATCGAGGCGACCGTCGTGCCGAGATTCTGCTGCAGCGGCCGTTTCACCGTCACGATCCCCACGCAGGCGGTCTTGTCCTTCGGCGGCTGGTATTCGCTGGGCGGGAAGGGGTAGCTGATGCCGGTCTGGTTGTAGACGGACAGGTAGTCGAGCGATTCCTGGATGCGAGTCAGGCTGTATTTGGGGCGATAGCCTTCGGTGGATTCGAAGAAGAGGGAGCCCGGGTCGCGGAGGGACCAGAAGCGGCAAAGGAGGAGGAGGAATGAAAAGAGGATGGCGTAGGCGATCAGCAGAAGCCTCTGCTTCCTGTTGAAATGGTGGAAAGCCATTGGTCACATGCTGGGAGGAATTGGAGCGACGAGAGGGATGTCAGTAGACGGTGGCGGGGGTGGGAGGAGAGGAGGGAATTGGAGCAGGATATATATTAAAGGCGACAAAAGTGGGAGAGAGCGAGAACGCGAGAACGAGGGACACAAAAAAGAAAACAATTGCAGAGAAAGAGAGAGAAGTGCGAGGATGGAAGAGAGATAAAAAGGAAGAGAAAGAGGAAGAAGAACAAGAAGAGTCAGTCAGTCAGCCATGTTGCAGATAAGCAGCAGCAACAATGGGATTAGTTTCGTAAACTACTGGCAGCACAACAGCAACAGCAGCCAGACTAAGCCAGGGTCCGTCCATCGCTTAAGCAGCACTAGTCCTGATAAGCGCCTAGTTTAGTGCTTGTCTCGGGCGTGTTTTTCTTCCTTCTCTTCGCCCAGCTTCGTGTTTATGGACAGTGGAGTTGGACTCCCATTTCCAAGACTTTTCCAACTTGTTTTGAACCGACCGCTCGAGTGTCTTTTCATTGTCGGTTCCTGACCCACATTTCTCAGCCTTCAGCCTTCCCAACCAAGCACCCCAAACGATCAGGAATTACCCGATTAGGAATTTCCTACTCTAACCCCGGGCCAGCGGTGTTCACTTTACGAAGAAGGATTGAGGCCGTGCAGACATACAATATGAGCATTGGCCATTGGAGTCACTTGATTCAAACACCCCAGGATGGCTCCAGGCAGGCTCCATTTGCCCCTCCCAATATGGGCACCTGGCAGTGAAATTTGCAACCTGACCAATGATGGGGCGATGGGCGGTCGCTAAAAAAAGGGCGGGAGCAAAAGCTTAGCTTTTATTTTTATCAACAATCCCAAGTCATGGTCACCACTCTCTGCTTTGGTCAGGATGTCTCATGTGTCAAATTGAGGGGGGTTCTTCGATGATGTCACTGTGAAAAAGATCATCAATTGCTCTGGTTCGGGGATATGGTCTAGTAAAAAGGAGTAAGTTACTACCTACCAGGATCAGGATATGGTTCGGTGCAAACCACATGTCAGATAATGTAATCGCGATCTAGCCTTACCCAAGCCAAGGTCCACTGCCTCGGCACTCCAGTCAACACCCCGTGGATGTGCGGATAACTCAGGACTATGGACATCACATCCAATCCATTAACTTCAGAAGTATACATCCAAAGCAAATGTACCCCCATGATGAGAATATCAGTAAAAGAAATTTGTATCACAGCACCATGCTTGGCTGCGGGGTAAGGGAGACAGTTAACCGATCTGGCCGAGGCAAAACGTCTATACCTGACCTTAACTCATAGATAAACCATAAGGATATAGGTGGATAACAGCACCAACTTTATTTCCAGTATTTAGATACGCATTGCTTACAGTATACAAAGAGATCAGAAAAGCCTGTTGATCTTCAAGTCTGTAACCATCCAACCAACACCAAAATGGCAACCACCATCACCATCCCCACGTCCTACGAGACCCAGCCCACGCAGCACATCAAGCTCTCGCACCACCCGGCCGGCTCACCCACCGCGACCCCCGTCATCCTCGTCACGCTGAACAGACCCGAGAAGCGCAATGCGTTCACGGGCACCATGGCCACGGAGCTGGAATGGGCCTTCACGACCCTCGACCGCGACGAGCGCGTCAAGGTCATCGTCCTGACCGGTGCAGGCGACACCTTCTGCGCGGGCGCCGACCTGGATATCGGGTTCCCTGACAACAAGCAGGAGAGGCCGATTGATCATCGTGATAGGTAATCACCCTACCCATGACCTTTGATCGAATGGCAGACACAACCACTAACCCCCAACCAGCGGTGGCAGAGTCGCCCTCGCCATCCACCGATGCCGCAAGACCACCATCGCCGCTATGCAAGGCTCCGCCGTGGGCGTCGGCATGACCATGACTCTTCCTGCTACCATTAGGTAAAACCCCCCCAACCCCCCCTTTCCCCCAAACCCACTAACATTGGGAAAAGAATTGCCCACCAAGACAGCAAATACGGCTTCGTCTTCGCCCGCCGCGGCATCACCATGGAATCCTGCTCCGCCTACTTCCTGCCCCGACTGATCGGCTACTCGCGGGCCATCTACCTCGTCGCCACGGGGCAGGTCTTCCCCCCGACCGCGACGCATTTCGACGGCCTCTTCGCCGAGACCTTCCCGCAGCGGGATCAGGTGCGGGAGCAGGCGCTCGCGCTGGCGGACGAGATCGCGTCGAACGTCAGTCCGATGGCGGCGGTGTTGAATCGCGCGCTGATGTGGCGGGGTCCCCACTCGGCGGAGGAGGCGCATCTTCTGGATTCGAGCGTCCTGGCGCATATGTTTGCTTCGGAGTATGTGGTTTCCCTGTTCTTTGCTTGGTTACTTCAGAGATTGTGGGGGAAAGGAGGAAAGGGGAGGGTTCGATCCCGGAGACGGAGTCTGAGAAACGGCTACCACACCCAACGAAGGCAGCAGGCGCGCAGATTACCCAGTCCCGACACGGGGAGGGGATGGAGAAAGTGTGGTATGATAAGCTGACATTTGTTTCTCTGTTTAGGGACCAGAGAGAAGGGGTTCGAGCTTTCTTGGAGAAGAGAAAGGCTAATTTTCGGGCGACACTGGAGGAACACGGACCGGAGAATTATCCTTGGTGGGCTGAGGTGCACGTTGATCGGAAGCCGGCTGCTGTGGGGGAGTCTAAGTTGTAGGCTGTTCATGAGAGAAAGTAGAGCAGAAGCAGAGCTGGACATTTGGGAAAGGGGGCAAAGGTAAGAATGACAAGGCAAGCTAGCAGTAAGGAGGTAGTAGAAGAAGAAGAAATCCATTTCAATCGCTCACGGATACTCAATATTCATACAATCAAATCCACCAGACTCGAAGAGAAGTCCCGTACGGAGGATGAAACCAAATAAAACAACACAATGCCCAATCATGGAAAGGTAGCCCCGGTATGCAAAGTAGAGAAACCTATACCTCATAAACATTCAGGCGATGAAGTGGCGTCTCTTGCGGTTGTACGCTCTCTGATCCTTCAGCCATTGTCGGTAGCCCTGGACACTGCCGATCTTTTCACCGTAGTAGTCGGGGACAGGGTTGGCGATGGAGTTGGACGAAGGGTCGACGCGAAATCGGCGGATGCGATCGTAGAATTGCTTTTCTTTCTGTGATTCGAGATTGCCATCATTAGTATCTTCCTCATCATTTCGCGCGGCTGTCACAACATGGGGAGTGTTGTGAGAAAGCGAGGGCTAAGCTCACCTGTAGAAGGGAAGGCTTGTATCTCCGGTAGATCAAGCTCCAGACCGAGTTCCCCACGAAAGGACCAAGGAGCCAGCCCGCCGCACCGCACGCGGCAGTCGCCATACCCAGCACCACAAACGGATCCAGGCCCATCACCTGCGCGCCCAGGGACTCCAGATCCTGCGACGAGAGGACCTGCATCCCCAAGACCGTGGTGAAAGCCGAGGTCACGACTGACGAGGCTAGCGTGTAGCGACGCCGGCTGGCACGGAGCTTGAAGAACGAGTCCCAGTCCAGCCGCACGAGCTGCTGCCCGGAGGGGGCAGGCGAGGCGGCGGCGTTGGACTTGGCCCGGCGGAGAGCTGGACCGGAACAGAGCGAGGGAACGGGCTTCTGCGGGCGAGCAGCCGAGGTCTTCAGCGTGCGTGCGGCATTGTTGGCCGTCGCTGTGCTGGCCGTGCGGGCCGATGGGATCGCATGATACAATTGTCTCGTGAGGTTGCTGTTGGCATGTGCGAATGGTCTCAAGGTTGAGGTGGAGAAGCTTCCGCCGAGGACGGCGATGCGCATCCCGCAGATTGAGGTGCTGTGCATGGTTGTCGATGAGGGTCGAGGGGATGGTGAGGAAGAAGACAAAGCTGGTTGTCGATGATAGGTAGACGAGTTGGATCAGGTTCGGCGGAGAAAGATGCGCGGATTAGATAAGCGGCGGCTGCATGAGGTCACTGCCTCGAGTCGGCTACGCAGAAAGAGAATGCGTAATGGGTACGACTGAGGTTATGAGATGAGGTTTCATACACTCCAACCTGAGGTTCTTTCACTTTACTACGCCGGCTATGGTCTGAGAATATAAGACACTGGCTACTATATCTCCAGATTGGCTTGATTTGTTCAGGTCCAAAAATTCTATAATTATGTCTATGAGATAATGCCAAATCACAGCTCATACTCTAGACAGCTTCACCAACGCTGTACTACAAGTCTATACCGTCCTCTTTCCAAGACAATAGTGTCTAATCCTACCCCTACCATGTGCCACCCAATTCTGGTAAATGAGCAAGTGCGCTAGAAGTGGCCGTTCTGCTGGATGGCACCCGGGCGAGACTGGGGCTTGCTCGTTCCAAAGCCGTTGACACGTCCGTACAACCACTTCAGGGTGCCAGTGCTCAGCGCCATTACCACTGCGCTAATAGCAAAGATCCCAATACGACCTTCGAGACCCGCCACCTCAAAAATCGGATAAGGATATCTGGAGACATGAGTGGAGGGATTCGGCTCCGAGACTGCGAGATTACATACATTCCGTTGTATGAAAAGCACCTTTCGATCCAAAACCAATACCCTATCGCAATAGTGCTGGATAACCCCAATGAGGGAAGAATAGTAATGGTCCATGGCGGTGACAAAAGTAGGAGATCTATTAGAAGGATCACTGACGGGGCGGCATGGAAGCTTATGTCTGAATTTCCAGGGTTGTTAATGATAACGGGAGTCTGTGCTGTACGATCCTTGAGACTCACCAACATTCAAGGGAATGATAGCCCAGTCAGGAACGACAAGACGCTTGTCAATCTGAAAGCAGTATATTAGAGACACGAAGAGCAGGGGCGACAGGGTCGAACACTGACCAAGCGAAGACCCCAGTATAAAATACTAATCAGCACCTCCAATGGCGTACAGCACATCGAGAGGAGGTTCTTGACGAGAAAAAGGCGGGGTGATAGTGTCACATCTGCGATAAGCCCACAGGCCATAGTGACAAGAGACAGGGAGAGGCCTAGCACGGTGAGGTACTGATAAGGAGAGAAGTCAGAAACCGATGACGACTGGAGCTAGCAACCACGTACTTGAAAATGCCAGCCATATGCTTCGTTCCTATCAGTCACAAAGATAAGCATCAACATACTCGGCTCCCGAGGCCATGGATCCGGGGAAAGACTAACGCGTGATTGGGGTTATCGTGCATACTAAGAGATTGATTGGTTAGCAGCTGAACCAGACTGACCTCAGGCGCACAGCTCAGGATCAGTAAGCACATACTACTTGAAAGACCATATAAAGCTAGTGAGACCCAGAAGCTTAACAGTGGCGGAGGTGGTTAGTGAGACAGTCCATGGAACGGTACTGAAAGAAATGGAGATGGAAGTTTAGACATACATGGACCAGAGCTGAGAACCCTCTGGAAGGGCTGGCCATACGTTGTAAAGGATGCTTTCTTTGAAGCGATTCAGCGACGGCTGAGGAACCCATAATGCCAAGGGTCTAGAAGATCGAAAATTTGAGTTAGGAGATATGCTCTAGAGTAAATCAGAAAAAGATGTAGGTTGATATGATTGACAGGGAGTTGACAGGGAGTGGAATGATACTCAGTAATCCACTCAGACAGTAAGGTATGATGATATCACAGCTCCAGACTCAGGCTCAGCTGCTTCCCCGGGTTTCCCGGGCCAGCACAACCTAAAGCAGGCTAGTGGGATTCTCACCCGACGGACTGACCGACTGACATAACTACGGACTAAGGTAACTACCTACCTAGTAAGTTGTGGCGCTGCCTGCTCGGAGAAACCTCCCGGAACAATTGTCACTGAATAGACTAAGATAGCCTAACAGTGGAATTCCAGCCAGTCTTATCTGCCCTTCTCTGATTGACGGAGAAAGCCGATGACTGTGGTTATCGGCAGGTTATCTGGCTCATTGACTGGTCTACGTACTCCGGGTGGATATACACTAACCTAAGGTATACTTTGGTGATGGATAACGAATGAGTCCCCTTCCTAGTCAACTCCCCCGTACTAACCAAGGCTAGGCTTGACTGCAACAATCCCCATTCATTGAGTTCACTCATTCACCTCCTCTTTTCTCTCTCCTGCTTCTCCGGTCCCCTCCATACCGTCACGAGCATTCTAGCCCTACGCATCTCGATCTATAGACAGAAGAATACCAAAGCATCGCTTCTAGAACAAATCCGCAGCTAGTTCGTCCCACACCTCGATGACGAAGAGCGGGTGTGGGTGTCTTCTTGATTATCGTTTCTTAGCATCCTGGGTCAAACACCCTACATCAACGCACCAGAAACACCCCCATTGGGACTCATCTCCGGACTCTAGCAAGAAGAAAGTGTTTTTCGACTACGTTGTCTGCATGGCGATCTTATTGTGCAGATCGATCCGAAGCTATTTCAAGATCCCGGCCATTAGCTCCCCTGGTCGTGGATTTCTTTTGCTGGAAATATTCCCTCAGCCAGATCGGATCTGAACCTCAATGCCTCGACCGAGAAGGCCCGGGGCCCCCGAGCCGAAACGAAGGTCGCGCAAGGGCTGCTGGTGAGGGTCTCCAATGCGATCTTTTCCACTGCTGGATTTGACTAATCGTGCATGTTTCCAGGCCTTGTAAAGCACGCAAAGTGAAGTGGTTTGTGTTACCTTCTCTCACTTAGTTCACAAAGTGCTATCGTAAGCTGATCGCTTTTACAGTGGTGAGGAAAAACCGTCGTGTCTCAATTGCCAGCGCCAGAATGAATTGTGTGACTACCGCATCAGACTGAACTGGGGAGGAAGAACCAGAAGAAAGTCATCGGTAGACTCTCCGATATCGCATTCGAGCAGTCCTTCAGGAACCTATGGCTCGTTCTCACTATCACCGGCGAATACCTATCAGTCCGACAATTTGTCGTCCTCGCACTCACACAAAGCCACATCTCCAGAGTCCGAGAACACAGCACAATTTCCAGCCACAGAGGAATTGCAATGGGATGTCGAGCTTTCCGAAGAGATGGCGATAGGGACTCCGGCAGCTTATTCTAGAGGGCTACATGATATCCATGAATCTCCAATCTTTGGCCAGACTCTTTATAGCTCCAACCGTACAAATGGCAAGAACTCTGTAGACAGCATGAGGGCTCTGTCACCCCGACAGGATGGGATATCTCCATGGCCAGACCTGCCCCAAACCAGCACCGCGACCGTCTTTTCTGCCTCCGCTCCAACATCCCTGGAAACCATCGTCTCTCATCCCTCTCCTGTGGACACGAATTCCAGTATAGGTTCTTGGGCCACCTTGAGTTTCTCGCCTGTCACGGCTCTATCGCGCCCGGTTTCGTTTCTCCGGCACACCTCCGAATCACATCATGCGACACCCACAAATAATCGGATGTCCGATCATGGCATTGAGTTCAACAGCTATTTTTCCGCGGCCAACGCAAAAACCACTTATGACAACTACGTTCAAGAGACATCAGGCCTGGGCTGCTCAGACTCACCATACGCAGAAGAATCCGCCATGCCGTCATTGGACGCGAGCGAAGGAGCCCAATCCCTAGAGGCACAGCCATCCGTTCGCTCGGAGAGCTACCTCACCAAGATCATGAACCGTCCAATAGCCTCGGACCGCAATTTCAATGGCGCGCAGATGCCTGGCTCAAGCACGCGCCTGCATCAATATCCCGACACCCCGAGTCAAAGTATGGTCGCAACGGATGCCTCAAGCGCCGAGAAAAAATGGCAAGCCTATCTCACAAGCGTTACAGACAACTACGGCTTGGATCGCGGTCGTCCTGATCTGGATTTGAATAGGAATGATGATCATTCTGCCATTGACATCAACTATGCTCTTGACTTGATCAATGCACAGAGAATTACTCCCCCAGGGTCCACCCCTCGAGGCGGCAACTTGGAAGGCGTGGAAAACGACACCTTCGATTGCAGCAAATACATGTATTATGCTTCGCCTGTACCGATCAACATCCCACGCTATTTGTCTCCGCTGCCACCATCGCTGGTCAAAACACCAATCAATCTGATGTACTTTCATCATTTTCTAAATCATACGGCCAAGATGCTGGTTCCGCATGATTGTGACGATAATCCATTCATATCCGTACTGCCGACAAGTAAGTCTTTGACTTGTCTGAACTATTCAAGTCTCTCGTCTGACTCCACCAAAAGTGGCGATTAGTGACTCGAATCTGCTTAATTTGACGCTGGCATACTCAGCTAGCCATCGGGCTAGATACCTCGAGCACCCGGAGCCGGCAAATCGGATTGCGCATTGGGTGAGCAATGTCTTCCCAACTCTACGCCTAGCCCTGGAGGACCCTCACGAAAAGGTCACCGATAACCACCTTGCTGCTGCTATAATGCTCCTGTCGTTGAAGATTGTCTCGCCCAGTACTTTTGAAGTCCCAATCCCATGGCAGAGCCACCTCAAACTTGCACGAGACTTGTTTTTCGCTCGGAAGGAGCAGATGGCTTACCCGGGAAACCTTGTGGGTGCGTTCCTGACTCGCTGGTTGAGTTACCTTGACATTGTTGGAACATTGTCATGTCGTCATAGCGAACCGCCCTCGCTGGATTATGCATCCGTTCTCAGCGCTTGCAGTGGTGTCGGGGAGTATGACGAGTTTCACATCGACTGTTTCACCGGGTTCACACCGAGGACAGGCCAGTTTCTCGCGCAAGTCGGGAGACTGACTCACCAGTGTGACAATGAACGGTTCGATGAGTCGGGCATCTTGAACCCAGACTGGAAACCTTCTCCTGCTGCAGTCGTTGCCGGCGAAGCACTTCTGGCGGACATTGAGCTGTTGGAAACACACGCCCATGCCAACGGCACCCATTTCCATCTCGGTAACATGGACAGCCTTGCTATCGACAGGGCGTTTCGATATGCCGGACTTTTACATCTCCATCGTCGTGTGCTTGACACATCGCCTCTCTCTGAGCCGGTCAAACATGCCTCGGACGAGCTCCTGAAGGCAATGGTCGAGATCAGACACGGCGCCTCTGCCGAAGTGGGCGCGTTGTTCCCTCTGTTCACCGCTGGGTGTGAGACCACGGACCCTCATACCAGGGCAGATATTCAGGAGCGGTTCAAAATGATGGAAAGAACTGGAATGAAACAGGTGAGCTAACCGGACGTTGTGCCGAGATGATGCACTAACTCTTACATCTATAGATCCAGAATGCGCGTAAGTTAATGCAGCGCTGCTGGGACGAGGGCCTTCCGTGGATTGCGCTGGCTGAAGGAGAATTTCTCGGATGATCGATCTGACTCTGTCCTGGTTATTATGTAAGGTTCAGCAAAGTACTCCTCATGCTTTGGACGTACACTCTACGAGCACTACTGTTCATCTTCTCTATCTTTTTGAGGTTATGCATGAAATTGACTATGCACCTTTGGTGGACCACTGGTCTCGCGTTGAAATTCTCTTGGTACATACATGTAGCCGATTAGGGTTGTACCTCTATAGTTTCAAGTTCCGAGTATGAAGGAGTCTCACCTTCATCAGTATCATTTCCAGCGTTCTTGTATGCCAGTAATCTATTTTTTTGCTCTGTTTGGGCTTACCCCAACGTCACCCAAAGCTCTCTCGTCCCTTTAATGCGAATCTCTCTTCAAGTAACTAAACACGTATATCTGGGCTTTTTAATTATAATATAAAAGCCTTCTTGGTAACCGATCTGGTCACCAATCACTTGTTCACTGAACTGTGCTATCTCTCAAACAAGAAGCAACTGCACCGCTCACCGCACTGGAAGCACAACACTGCACTCGCTCAGGGCTCTTGTTCCAAAGAATCGCTCAAAATGGAAGGCTGCACCAAACAGCTCTACTTCTATTGCAGCCCGAAAGGGTATAGCGAGTTGGTGCTAGCGCTTCTACTCTCTATGGTGATCGTTCTCTGTTTACTTCTACATCGTCTTTTGTCATTGGCAGTTTCATGCTCGGCAGTTAATCGCTTCCCAGCCTCAGCTCACAGTGAGCGGGGCGTCATTCACTCCTCCATTCAAAGGATGGACCCGCCGCACCCGGATTTGCAGGCCACGTTCGAGCGGCCACAACACGAGCATGATACCTGTATCCTTGACAGTCGGCTGGACGACATCCATGTCCCCAGCCTTGTGCCGTTGCCTTGCTCACAGGTGATTCGGCCCAAGAGAGTCAACCACCTGAGCTCTGCTCTCGAAACTCATGTTGACCGCGAGCTCACAGTCACTCCAGCCCCGGCTCACTTGGTGCGTGTTTCCATGCTGCGCAGCTCAGCAGCTACATCTCCAGTGTGCCACAAGCTAACATGCCTGTGTGTCTCTACAGACACGTCCTTCTGCTGCTCCCGTCACCATGACCGCCACCGCCGCCACCACCGCATCGCAGCTCGTTCCGTGGGACGGAAAGATCAACTGGGCCCTGAATGGAGCCACCGTCTTCAAGGACTCGGAAGAGGAGCGCCGCGCACGGGTCAACCTGTCCAACACCTTCAACAGGGAGTCGCACTCGAAGCTCTGGGTGTTCCATTTCGGCCTGCGCTACATCCCCGCCGACTTCGAGCACAACGTGTACCGCGCCATCAAGGTCGACAGCCTGCCGTCCGGGGCCGGGCTCTCGCAGATCCTGCCCCTGATCCCCGGCGAGATCCTCTCCGCCCGCCTGCTCGACACCCGCACCATCACCGGGTCCAAGACCGCCTTCGTCACCTTCGTGCACCAGGCCGATGCAGTGGGCTTTCTGCACTCCTCCAAGGGCGTCCTCCAGCTGAAGTCCGGGCCGGCCCAGGTCGCGCCGATCCCCACCCCCAGCTACCCCATCAGCGCGGACATGGAGAAGTTGATCTACGAGAAGGGATACACCCGGTGCATCCGCATCACCAACCTCCGGACGTCGCTGAAGGGGGATATCTGCCGTGCCTTGAGCAACGCGTATCTGGTTCCGCAGATCGAGAGCATCCGTGATGGGCCGGGGGCCGGTGAGAGCCAGCTGCGCTTCTGCTCCATCAAGGCGGCTGCGGCGGCGTATGTTCTTCTCAGAGGCCATGCCAAGTTCGATGAGTGTCAGTGGGAGTTCGTCAAGGCTGTTCGCCCTAAGATCCCTCGGATCGGGATCTGGGACTAGAAGCGAGGGGATGCTGCTGCATGTTTTCTGGGGAGCTGTGCTTGTGACGAGGGAAGTCGAGCAACCGTCCAAGATTTCGCAGGGGAGAAGAGGGCTGCTGGGATTTAGCGTGTATTTCAGATCCGGACAATATATCTTCGCTTGAGGATGAGCAGGACCTTTAGTGCCGTAGACGGTCAGGGAGGTAAACAGCTCAGACCGGTAAGAGGGAGATGATGTTTCCCCTAATATCTGACATCCCCTCCTATCTTCCGGATTTAGCACTGTCTAGGCACGAGAAGAGTATCAAGGCCGCCGTGAACGAGCAAAGCTAAACCGATTGAGGCTGCTCGAAGCCGCGGAGACAACCCGTCATATAAATGCCTCTCAAACCGAGGCAAACCCCATCACGACCACCCTCAGCAATGAAGCACGACTCACAGCTACCGTACCCATAAATGCCACCCAAAAGGAAGCCTGAACCCAGACCCATTCTACAAAACCGAGTTCCAAAGCAGATTTGCCCTTTCTATCCTGTATCCTCTATCCTCTATCCTCTCTACCCCTCCTCTCTCCCCCCTCCCCCACTCGAACCCCACAATTCTCCAACCCATCGTAAACCTCACCCCTACCCCTACCCCACCGAATACAAATTCACAATATCCTGATCCTTCCTCGGCCCCTTGACCACATGCCGACTCGCCCAGCTAACCACCTCCCCACTCTCCGCCCGCACCCGGAACGCATAGGCCGTGCGATACATATCCTTGATGCAGAGATGATTGCCCCTGGCCGTGACAACCACCGTCGCCTCTGCCTCGGACGGTGGTTTGGGTGGTGTAGGAGGCGTTACGTATGCCTCGTTGTTGTTGCTGCTGCTGCTGCTGCTGCCGCCAACACCGGCGGCGGCAGCAGCATCCGCACCGTCAACCGCCACCTCAAACTCCACCTCATGGAACAGGTAATCGGCCTCGGGATGCGTGGCTGCGTCCTTGGTGACCTTGACGAACCACACGCTGATCCGGCCTTCTGGGCTGAGGCGCCAGATGTAGGACTTCGTCCAGCGGAGGTTTGGGCCGAGGGTTGCGGGGAGGGAGCCGGATTCGGTGTAGAGGGTTTGGGTCTGGGGTTGGGGTTGGGGATGGGGGTCTTCGGTGGGTGTAGAGGCTAGGAGGGGTTGGAAGGAGGCTTCGCCGTGGAGGTCGCCGTGGAGGTCGAGGGGGTTGTCGCTTTGGAGGGTGCGGCGGAGGGTCCAGGTGGGCGTGCGGGCGAGCGAGGCGAAGAGCGTCGGGAGGAGGCGCGGGGAGATCTTGGTGGTTGGCATCTTTGCTGTGCTGTGCTGTGCTGTGCTGTGCTGTGTAGATGGAGATTGGAGTTTGGGGTGGGATGGTGGGGTTTATGTCAGGTCATAAGGTCATTGTTGCGATGGTGGTTCTTGGGTTAGGAGGAGGAGGATTGAATTGAGATGATGATGGATGCCAGGAGTCAATTCCGGTGGGCCGTGCGCTGCTCGCTCCACCCGCCCACTCTCCTTCTGCATCTCATCTCCCATCTTCTCCGACTCCACCCTGCAACAATATCACCCATACAGATTCCCGGCTTCTCCTCTTAGCGTCGGAGATCTGTTGATATGTCCGGTGAGTATTGAGAAATGTCCGTCAACAACCCTACTTTTTAGTTATTTGACACTGATCTTTACAGGGTCAAAGTTACTGCACCGTTGGTTCAAAACGGGTTGAGCCATGATGAGCCATGTTGATTCATGACTTATGTCCAGAATTCTCGGCTTGGCATCCCTCCTGCCCTCTCTATATGATGATTCTCTTCCGCAGTCTCAAGATGGCTTTTTTCATCATCAAACGCGTCCGCATTGAACTTGCCCCTAGCAGGAATGGCTGAGAAACGCCTTCCGGAAGACGCACCCCGGTCCGAGACCAACAGCGCGTCTGCTGTCAAGATCAATGCCTCCCCGGAGGACGATACCACTCAGGCTCCCGACTTTGAGCTGACCGGCCTACCGTTGGCTCTGGTCATCCTTGGCCTTGGTCTCGCCATCTTCCTCATGTCGTTGGACTCGTCGATCATTGCAACTGCCATCCCCCGCATCACATCCCAGTTCAACAGCACCGGGGACATAGGCTGGTATGGAAGTGCATACTCCTTCGCCATATGCGCTCTGCAGCCCATTGCCGGCAAGCTGTTTGCAAGCTTTCCCATGAAGGTAAGTCCACTGAACGCCCAATGGAAGAGCCCCACTGACCGGCGCAGGGGATGTTCCTTGGGTGTTTGGCCGTGTTTGAGCTTGGTTCACTGCTGTGTGCCCTGGCTGTGAACAGTCCAATGCTCATTGTCGGGCGCGCGATCGCCGGAGCTGGGGCAGCCGGATGCTTCACGGGAGCCTTTTGCATCGTCGCGGCAGCTCTCCCGCTTGCCAAGCGCCCCTTCTACGTGGGAATTCTCCAGTCGACCTTCGGCATCGCAACCATCATCGGACCTATCCTAGGCGGTGCCTTCACGCAGCACGCGACATGGCGGTGGTGTTTCTGGATCAACCTACCCATTGGTGCCATCACGATCGTGGCCCTGGTCTTCTCCTTCAAGCCGCCCCCGCGTGACCCCTCTACAACTTCTCCTGTCCTGCATCGACTGAAGAGCTTGGATCTGATCGGTGCTTTGCTCTTCGCTCCGTCCATAATTATGATACTCATGGCCCTCCAGTGGGGTGGAACCTCCTACGCGTGGAAGAGCGCCACCATCATCGGACTCTTCGTCGGCGGCGCAGGGCTCGGCCTGGTCTTTGCCTGCTGGCAGGTCTACAAGGGCGACGGGGCCATGATCCCCCCGCGCCTGATGACCGAACGCACCATGCTTTTCTGCTGCCTCGGGGAATTCTGCGCCATGGGCGCCGTCTACATCTCGATCTACTATCTTCCCGAATGGTTCCAAGTCATCAAGGGCGCCTCCCCGACCAAGTCGGGCCTGATGTATCTGCCCCTGGCGCTGTCGGACGTGCTCTCCGCCACGCTCACGGGCGCCTCCCTCAAGTACCTGGGGTACCCGAACCCCTACCTGCTGCTCGGCACGGCGCTGATGAGCATCGCCACGGGCCTCTTCTCGACCTTCACCCTCACCACCCCGCACGAGCACTGGATCCCCTTCCAGGTCCTCCAGGGCCTCGGCGCCGGCATGACCCTGTCCATGCCCTACGTCGCCACGCAGACCGTCCTCGATCCCGCCGACATCCCCGTCGGCACCTCCCTGCTCCAGTGCTTCCAGTTCTTCGGTGCCGCCGTCAACCTCGCCATCGCCGAGGCCCTCTTCGACAACAAGCTGGTCACGGGTCTGGGGGATCTCGGGCTGCCCGCCGCGGAAGTCGAGCGCATTGTCAGTGCCGGATCTGCGGAAGTGCGCAGCGTGATTCCCTACAGTGATCTGCCCGGCGTGCTGCATGCCTACAACCACGCGCTCACCACCACCTTCTACGTTGCTGCGAGCTCTGCCGCTCTGGCCTTTCTGCTCTCGCTGGGCGTCCGGTGGAGGAGTGTCAAGCCGCCGAAACCGAAGGCTGTTGCTGCGAATGCAGCGAATGCGGATGCGGATGTGGAGGCTAGGTGATTCGGTTTTGTGGGTGTGGTTCTGTGATATAGATTTTGGTTCCAGATGTGTATTTTTGATATCTAGAATTATATATATCGTTTAATGATTGTATACTAACGAGAATCTACTGGAATCCCGAGAGGAAGTAATGACATTTAAGTGGTGTTACTCAAAGATTTCCCGTGCTTGGTCAAGCTCGTACGGTATATTCCCGGGTCAGATTGTATGTTACGCAGCATCACAGTTAGACCAATCTCCCCCTACCTCCATTGCCCACATTCGGTCTTGTTCAGTAGGACAAGCCAAGCACAAGCAATCGCATCTAGAACCCCCTGTATAGATGGAATACAAAACACATGCACAAGGCAAGTGCCAGGGAATTAGAAGGTGATATTCAGTATTCGCATTATGAAGAAGGCTTTCGAGGGATTCTAGAAAGCCAATCTGAGATCATCGATTGCGTTCCCTCTACTATGCCGTAGGGGAGGGCGAAGAAAGGCACTCGCAATGGCAAATTCACAGAGGCCGGAAGGCGTTGATCCATTGTGTGAACCCCAGTCATAGCGAGGGATGGCCATAGAAACCCGGAGGCGGAGAGACACCCCTCTTAGATTCGGCGAGGGAGAGCATCTAAGATACTTTGACACAGTACAGTACTTCCAGGTGATTTGATCTGCGATCAGAGAGAAACTGCCCAGTGGGTCTTCCTATGGTGGATCGCCGATAAAGATTCGGGATGGAGGAACTATCCATCTGAACAGGTCCGTCCACATCACCTTTAGCTTCGCTGAGTCCTATCAGCAAGCACGACAACAAACGGATCACGTCCGATCATTGATATCCAAGTTCAGGATATCATCCTCGAGACTCAGGATGCCCATCGCCCAATTCGCGTTCGGCCGCTTGCTGACCGTGACGAACCGGCGTTCGGAGCTGTTGTACGGGCCACCGCCGCCACCGCCGCCGCTTTCCTCCTCCGGGGGCGGGGTCCACATGGACACCGGCTTGTTGAGAGTCCTATCGCGACGGGTGTACGGCGGCCCGCGGCCCTGCGCGGCGGCGACGACCCACGCATTCTCGCAGCCGCGCGCGATCGCGTCCGAGGTGCGCCAGCCGCTCAGCCGGTTGAGGTCCAGCAGCTCGGTGACCAGCCACTCGCGCTGCGCGGGGTCTGTGTACTGGACTCCCGCAAAGAACAGCGGCACCGTGATCTCGATCAAGCACGAGCCCAGCGTCGGGCTCAGGCTGCCGGCCTCGAGGTGGAAGGACTGCGGGTAGTAGACGCCCGCGGCGATGCGGCCGATGATCTGCGCGTATTCCGCCGTGGTGGCGGCGGCCACGCCCGCGGCGACCATCATCGCCGGCGGCATGCAGGGGTGTAGCCGGTGCAAGAGGATCCGCCCCGTGTAGTAGAAGCACCAGGTCGTGGCGATCGTGTGCGTCCGGTACTGCAGGGCGGAGCCGAACGGGGTCGAGATCGGCGGCACCGAGTCCGCGGGTAAAGGCATAAAGTATGATCCTAGGGCCGGGAGGAATGCGTCGAACGCCGCCACCATACTCTCCCATTCCTTCTCGGCGTCATGGTACGAGGTATCCTCTTCTTCCTCTTCGAGAGGCTGATGGTGGTGGTGCTGGGATTCCCGGGTGTTGAGGAACACGGCGGGGGCGCGGCGTGGGCCGCTGGACGGTGCCATGCCGTACATGGGCGGGGCGTTTGGGCCGGGGCCGGTGGGTGGACCACCACGGCGCATATCTGCTGCACCGCGTGGAGATGGTCGTGCAGGACCCCCCGGGCCACCAGCAGGAGGTGGTCCTCGGCCTGGTGGTCCGGGTGGTCCTCTGGAGAACCGGGCCATAAATTTGCCCAGATTGGCATCCGGGCGCCACTCCATGCCTGTAGTCTTAGCCGTTCTCAGTTTTCGTTTCCTGTCACGATAGCCGAATTCTGCCAAGCGACCTAGAAGTAGCCACAGGTGGTCTGCAGACCCGTAGATAGCGTCCAGCCGGCCCATACCCGCGCGGGGAGGGCATTGACCCCATTGGGAGTATGGCATGCTGGGTTGCGGTTAGTGTCGTAGCTCGAGATAAGTGAGGGGGGGGGGTTCTTATGACTTACAACAAAGGGCAACCGCTGATGATACTTTGCATGACATCTTGCTTGCAGTACCACCAGTACAGGTCACACTGGATCCGATAGTTCTCGATATCTTTCCGTGTGAAGTGCTTGTACTGACGAGGGTTCCCATTCTCATCGTTAATCTGCCCGAATTCGTCGTAGTTTGCGGCTCTTCCAAGTAGAGTCCCGATGAACTGCTCGTTGATGCTACTTTCCTTCTCTGCGAAAGGGTCGTCGTCCGACGTGGGATCTCCAAAAAGGTAGCTGTCTGTGAGTGCCATGACCGGCGGCTGCATTTGCTGTCGCTGAGCCCATACTCTCCGTCGCTGGGCGCGGAGCCCACGAGTCATGCCAGCAAAATCAATCTCACGCACCAGTTGCGCCGACCCTGCCACGTGGCTGTTCCATTTCGAGTGATCAGCACCCATCACCTCGTAATATCCTAGAAGCAGGGTAGCAGCCAGGGTGGTGATCTGCTTGCGGCGCGTGGGAAGCCCGACAGCCACACCGACTCTTCTCAGAGCGTAGTGATAATGCTTCAACGAAACCGTTGGGGGTGCTTGTTGGAGGAAGGAGATATGTAAGCTGCTCAAGGCGAGGATAGCTTGCAGCAAAACTTGACTCTCGAGAGCCTTAAGAGGGAGGGTATATGTCCATAGGCCCTGCTGGGCGGTTGGTACGGGGGCGCCAAGCATGGTGGATGGGTCGATCGGATGACGCTCGAAGACAGATAGCGATGGTCCGGTGGAATGGATGAAATGCAAGAAGATTCGGGCCGTCTTCGGATTGTTCAAGGGTGATGAGCCGTATGTGGGGATGTACGAGCCGAGTACATTTGGCTCATTCAAATATGTAGTGAAAGAACGCAGCTGCCGCTCGTCGCGATTGGCAGATGCCATAATAAGGCTAAGCTGGTTGTAGTTCTGCACGGAGATCTGGTCTTCCCGTTCCTCCTCTGATTCACCACTGTAGTATTCATCCTCACCGTCATCTTCCATAAAATCTCCATACGGCGATGTTGATGACTGCGAGAGAGGCACATGTGCAGACGAAGCTGTTCTAACTTGGTCTTGCAGTAAATTTACACCAGACGGTGCGGTATTCGGCAGCCAAGGGCCTCCTTGAGAATATGAGACAGCATCCGACCATGAGTAGCCCGCCCCCAGATCAGTCGACAGCTGCCGTCTTTGGTGATCAAGGAACGCGAGGGTGTCCGGTGGTGTATAGCTTTCGGACGAGTTCTCCGAACTCGAAGGAAGGTGGACCTGGCCTGAGACTGCTGGCTGAGGAGGAGTCCTGCTAATCCCAGGAGCCTCGTTCAGTGAGAAGGTAGCGGTTGGATTCCGGGTCTCTGCATCGGGTGGCAAAGACAGCTTTGGAGCTATAGCAGGCTGATCTGGTCTGTCCTTTCTTTGCTGAGACACCGAGTGCTCACTTGGGACTGGTGCTGACTGTGTCTGCACGCTGAAGGCCGGCTGCTGGCCAAACCCGGGACCTGAGATGCCCAATGGGTTCTTGAAGATCAGGCGGGGCCCGTAGCCTTGACAGTCGCGTTTTGATTTTACGCAATTATTGCATGTCGGCTTTTCTTCGCCGCACTTGATGCGACGTTTGCGGCAAGCTATTTAGCGATGTTAATGCATGGGACGTGATTTACGGCCAGTTGCACTCACTTAAACATCCTGTTTTGGTACGCTTTTTGGGAACTCTTTGTGATGTTGCATTGTTCGATCCCGCCTCCACAGGGTCCAGTTGGGCGGCGTCTGCGACGTCAGGACCCTGCGCTGTGCCTGGCCCACTGATAGACAGATCTGGCGGAGACTGCCGGGCACGGTTGGTGCTTTCCATGGCGATGGCAATGCAGAGTCGAAAGCGAGACCAATTCCATAATCATCGCCAGCAGAGAGGAGACCGACCTGACTTGACACAGACAACGCGCACTTCTACTTCCGAATGGAATTCGTCGCACGACTTCTGTAGCATCAAGCTTGAATGGGGTTGATTTGGAGACCGCGGTGGAGGTCGTCAAAGAGGTGAAATTCTGATTGGCCTGGAAATATGTGACGGGTCGGGATCGATGCCTCAGGTATACTCAGTCATGCCGTGCTTTGCTTCTGTCACCCCAAGAGCTGCTACATGGGCAGAAAGATTGCTCACGGTGGAATTATGACAGATGATCTGAGCAACTGGGGCAATGGGTCCTACTTATCGTATCTAAGGTTTTTACTTGGATTTTTCTCCAGGCATATGGCCTGATCACTGACCTGCTCGGTAGAAAGTCTAGACAATATCCACAATCTGATCGATCCGAGGCACTTCCTTGGTAGCAGTCTCCAGTCTCCAAGATCCTGACACCAGCCCACAACTACTCCATCTAGATCTGACAGATGGTCTAAGACGTGTATATGCATCAAACTCTAAACTCACAAGCAATTAGCGCCACGAGTAAAAAGACAAATCACCGTAGTGCCCGAGACACTTCGCGAAAGCCTGATGGAAGCGACAAAACAAACAAGACAAACACAGCACTCACCGCCCTCGAGACGGGCGGCAGAACACCCCGAGGACTGATCGTCTCCGCCTTTTTTTGCCAGAAAATTTTAGAGATGCACGGCCGGGCAGAACAATAATCAACCATTTTCCAAAGGCAACCTATCGCAAGCATGTTCGCTGTACCGGGTTGGTCGCTCGAGAACTCTGCTCTCAAGCAGCAGAGTGAGCCTGCTCCTGAAAAGACAAATGACAAATCATCCAAGCCGAACCCCAAAGACCGAAAGCGCAAGCGGGAGGATAATGTCACCAAGGGAAATGTGGACGCTATGTTCCGCCGGCACATTGAGGGGGAGAAGATCACCCCCTGGGCCAGGAAGAAGGCTGAAAAGGAGGCCATGATGAAGGGCGAGAAGAAGCAGGATCAGGCCAAACCCCAGACCGTCGAAGCGGACGCACCGCGACCAACCGACGCCGCCGCCGCCGCCGAGGAGGGCGAGAAGCCCAAGAGCAAGAGACAAAGGAAGAACAAGAATAAGAACAAGAACACGGAGGAGAAGCAGGACCATCCGCAGGGTGATGCCACCAGGGAATCTGCCACTACCACCGAATCGATGCCCGTGGCGCCGCCGGAGACGAAAGCCATCCTGACCCCTCTGCAGCAGGCCATGCGACAGAAGCTAATCTCCTCCCGATTCCGCCATCTAAACGAGACCCTCTACACCACGCCCTCGAGCAAGGCCTTTGAGCTTTTCACTTCGAACCCCGAACTGTTCGACGAGTACCACGCCGGTTTTGCGCGCCAGGTCAAGGAGTCCTGGCCCTCGAACCCTGTGGATGGCTACATCAAGGCTATGCGCGTCCGTGGCAGCGCTCATGCGCCCCGGAGGGGCAAACCGGATAACAACAAGGGACGACCCTCAGCTGCCCCGCTGCCCCGACGACCGAACGGCCTGTGTACCGTGGCCGACTTGGGCTGCGGTGATGCTCAGCTCGCGCGCGCGCTGCTGCCGTCTTCCAAGAAGCTGAACCTCAAACTACTCAGCTACGATCTGCACGCCCCGAAGGACTCCCCGATTACCAAGGCCGACATCTCCAATCTGCCCCTGGAGGATGGATCTGTCGACGTGGCGGTCTTCTGTCTAAGTCTGATGGGCACCAACTGGGTGTCGTTCGTGGAAGAAGCGTGGCGGGTGCTCCGCAGCGACGGCAAGGGCGAATGCTGGGTCAGCGAAGTGAAGAGCCGATTCGGCAAGGTTACCCGCAAGAAGGCGCAGATCGGCGCCAAGAAGCCGCTCAGCAAGGCGGAGCAGAAGAAGCTCAAGAAGAAGCAGTCGGCGGACAACGCGGACTCGGATGTTTCTGAAAACGAGATCTATGCGGAGGACGCTCGTCCCGCCAACACCGATGATGAGACGGATATCTCGGCCTTCGTGGAGGTCTTCCGGACGCGGGGCTTCATTCTCAAGCAGGAGACTCTCGATAAGTCGAACAAGATGTTCGTCAAGATGGAGTTTGTGAAGGCCGGTGGCGCCCCCACTAAGGGCAAACATGCCGGCTCCGCCGCCCCCAGCGCTGGTGCCGGTGGCCCTGGCAAGAAGCGGTTCATCGACCGCTCATCCGACAAGGGCATGTCCGCTGCTGAAGAAGCGGCTGTTCTTAAGCCATGCGTCTACAAGATCCGGTAGTCCTGGCATAAGGTGCTTGAATAGTGTATAGAAAAAAGTACTTGAGTTTAATCATGATCAAGCGAGTTGTCACTGTAATATATGCATCTACTAGTACTAGTACACAAGTGTAGTCTTCAGCATCGTAGCCGTGGTAGTCAAGTCCATGGATCAGCGCCGAGCCTCGATTAAGAGCTTTGAAAGTGCCGTTGTACACCTCACCCAGTGACTTCTGCCTTGACCTTGTGTATGTGTATAAAAAGTATTTAGCTAGCCACCGGCGAAACCCTAGTAAGTATTACAATCATTAAACTATCCAGCATGCTCTCCAACTCCCGCATAACGAACCCACACGCAAAGAGCACCAGTCCAAAGATTCCCTGATCAGTCGTACTCCATCCTTCGTTCTGTACATCGTCCCATCATCAAAATCATCATAATCAATGAGCGTCCTTCTGCCTCACCCCAAGATGGAGCATATCAAACCCCCACTGCTGCATCTTGAACCGATCAAGCACTCCACAGAGATCCAGAAACACCTTCGGACCCTGCATCTGCCCAGCAATGCCCTGCCACCGCACCTGCTCATGGCTGAACTCATCATATTCCATAAGCAGTATCAGCCCACTGCAACCCTGGCAAGCCGCATCGACCGAGTCAGCGATTGCGACTGCTTCCAGGGATGCGTCCGCGAGACGTAGCGCACTCCGCAGCTGATCCCCCGGGATCCGAGGATCGAAGACCGTCACTTGCACCCCGATGCTCATCAAGTCGCGCGCCAATCCTACCGCCGTAGACGACTGATCCCGAATCGCGCAAGTCTTCCCCCCCGCGAAACCCAAGATCGCCACCCGGTGGTCCTTCAGCTCCCCCGTGAACCGCTCCGTGACCCGCTTCGCGGTGCGGCTGTGGTAGAACTCGTTCATCTGGAGCACCGCCCTCCAATACTCAGCGACGGGGTGCAAGCCCAGCTCCCTTGCAAGATAGATCAAGCACAGGATCTCCGCGTGGAAGTTTGTACCGCCCCCAAACCCCAGCCCTACGCGCGGTGGCAGCCCCAGTGTCTGGGTGATATGGGCGATGTTGGCGTTGGTGGACTCGCAGATCGCGCTCAGGGACTGGACGTTGCTGATCTGCTGCGCGAGGCAGGCGTTGGCCGCGAGCTTGCCCAGCTCCGCGGACCAGGCGTCCATGGTGATCAGGCGGTCCTCGGGGACCCAGGGCAGGTAGAGGCGCTTTAGCGCGGTGATGGCCTCGACGGACATGTCCTCGGAGAAGATGTGGCCGATCAGCACGCGAGGCGGGTAGAGCAGGTCGCGGATGGCCGTGCCGGGGATCAGAAAGTCCGGGTTCGACAGGACGTCGAAGGTGGCTGTTGGGGATGCGGTTTTGCGTAGCTATATATTGTCATCGTGAAATTGGGGGTGTCAGTCTCCGTACTAGGTAGCAGTTTGGGGGAGTGCTTCAGTGTGGTGTCTATTTACTGACAGCTTTTTTTATGCGCTGGACGATGCCACACGGCGCTGTGCTTCTCTGCACGATGATCTTGTGCCCGGTCGATACTTGGGCGATCGCTTGGATTGCGGCCTCAAGCGGCGCGAGGTTGATTCCTTCTTTGGTCTCCGACTGCAGTCCATTGTCAGTACTTAGTCCTATTTCTTGTGACGTTCGTCTGTTGGTCTCACCGATGCATCTGGAGAACATTCTACACAAAGAAAGACTAGATCTGCGGAAACCACTCCCGCATGGATATTGGTGGAAAAGGCGAGGTTGGCCAACTTCCTTTGTCGTTGCGTTCTCTCAGCATCATTGTTTTGGCTCAAATCATTCACCTTCGCTTCTTCCGGGAGGCTGGATGCCTCCATCGCAAACCCGGGAGGGTCATCGAAGAGCAAATCCTCTAGCCCCGGCTCAGGGATAGGAGGACGATCCGATTTCCAAGCCTCAATGAGACTCGCATCTCGATCGACCACACAGAATTGGACGTGAGGGTTCTGCGACGCCAGGATGATGGCAGTCAATGCTCCTTTTGAACATGCGTAAGCTCTTTGAGCCCATCAGGACAAAAGACTCTATGTTACTTTGTACTCACCCACATGGCCCGCCCCAATGATACATGCACTACGCACGTTCTCGATCTTCGTACTCGGTAGCGGTCGCAGCTCGATCCCCTCTACACTATCGGAGTACGTGTGGCCCTTGACAACGACATGAGGACTTCGAGGACTCCCACCACTCGCGGCTTCGATGGCCTTGTACCGACGTCGCGAAAGGAACAGAGTCAGACCCGCCAAAACAAGTAACAGAGGAAAGAACGGCATTGCTTTGCAACGATATACTCCTTTAAAAAGCCCCAAACCCACAGTTGACGACTTACCAAAGCCCCTCTTCCCCGTCTATCGCACAGGATGCATACACAGAAGGAAAAATCAAAGAAGAAAAAGAAGGAAAGGGAAAACAGACGGACTTTGAACCCCTCTCGCTCACTCCCCGGCGATATGCGGGTTGTGTGTGTGAGACCCGATCAAAGGGCGGTCTGGTCGCAACGTTGAACTGGCCACCTCATAGCGAACTACCAATTATTCTAAAAATATGGACATGTTATTGGGTGTGGTTTTGTCGAGCTTGACTACGTGTTCGCAGCCTTGGTCTGCTTGAATCCACATTGAGGCGACGCTAAGGAGGTCTGATATGCAACTCAATTGGAACAGCATGGGTGGTCCCATCTGTCGCGTCAACAGCCGATGCAACTTTTGTTTTCCATCGACAGCCTCACTCTTTGAATTTTCGAGTCGAAAAGGAAGAGGAATCTATGCAATTGCTAAAGAGATGAGAAGAGCGAGGAGGCGACATGCTGAGGTTGTTAAATATCTGTCTCATGTTGACCTGCCTGCATGAGTCCAATGGTCGCCCAATGGCTAGTGCTAGTGATTGTTTTGGCTGAGCCTTTGAGGCGTACCCACAGATCTACCTTATGCATTAACTTTTGCTGGCGACCAACACCATCAGTCCTCCCCAGGCAGCAGCAGCCTGCACCCATGCATCAAGCACAAGCTACTTTTCTTCAATTGACAACAACAAACAGAGCAAACAGAACAATGGTGGATGTCCCTGTCACATGCCCCAGAGCCGTTGCGCTGTGCGCACGAGCCACATAGCCATGTGACGTCACCGGTCGCGGCCCTCATCTCCCATCCTCAATGACATTGATATCAGGACGATCTGCACTCACGCGGCTTCCAGAACCTGGACCCTGTCATACGGTTGGATGGAGCATTGACAGCGCCGGCTTGGGCTCATCTGCGCCAGATCCACAGACGTCATGGCATGCGTCAGCCGTGGTTTGCCAACTATAAAACTTCTTACTCGCCTTACAAGTTCGAGTTCAGAACACTAGCTCTTTACAGCTTCATCCTCAAGCGCAAGCACACAACCCCTACTTTGCTGTCCCTATCTCACCACATACAAACCACCCCACATATTCCCAAAATGGACTCCGTCAACAACGCCCTCGGCCGCCCCAGCCAGCCCCGCCGGCACACCGAAGAACAACAACGCCACATCTACAACAACCTGCCGGAGGAAGAGCGCAAGAAGCAGACCTACGCCGAGTGGGTGCAGGAGGTCTACAACGACCAGTACGAGAAGTGGATGCCCTGGCTGGAGGACCAGTACCTCAAGTGGTTCGGCAAGGGGGATAACAAGGCCTCGTATGTAACGAAAGGTAAGTCCTCCATCCCTCTCTATTACAATCACGCCGGTCGAAACACAATTAACCTTGCCCATCATGGCAGACAACCTAAACAAGACCAAGGTCACGGGCGTCAAGCAGGTCGATCAGATCCAGGACGACGTGCACAACCTCGTGGGCAACCAGCTGGGCGAGAACGGGCTGCTGTCGCCGGTGGGCAACGCCGTCTCGAAGGAAGGCATCAATCGCGCCGAGCGGAAGGGGAAGGATGAGAATGGGTCGTATGGCGGTCCGCTGGGAGGTGTCACGGACCCCGTCGTCGAGGGCTCCAAGAGTGCCGGCCAGGGACTGTACTCGGGCGTCCAGTCGGCGGGCTCTTCGCTGGCCGCTGGCACCAAGAGTGCTGCGGGTGCTATCCCCGGTGTGCAGCGGTAGAGTGTGGACTTCGTTGGTTTAACACCATTGTTGTATCTTATGAGTTATGAGTTATGAATATGCGACTTCGTTATTTGCTTGTTCTTTCCGGCCAATAAACTGTATTCTGCGAATGTGTCTTCGTGTAACCCACCTCGAAATTATGCAGGGTGCATCTCGAGGGGTCCAACAATGATGGCCTTCCATTCTTAATATCAATAGAAAATCTCTACAACATCTCGCACAGCTACGACGCCTGCTACATGATAGCTTGCAATACATGATATGCAATTCGTTGCGCGTTCATACCCAAAATGTGGTATACAACCATAACCCACAATCTATATCCATCCTCAACGAAACCAAAACAGCCCCCATGATCAGACCCCATCCCGCAGAACTCCTCCCTCCAAGAATCAGCTTCATCGAAAATCTCAAACAAAAATATAACCACTCTGAGTATTCGCATACACAAACTCCGGACGATCATGAAAATAAAGCAGCAAACCCATCAGCGCCCGCAGCGCCTCCCTCCGTTCCCCGGGATCCCGCAGATTGTACGCTTTCGTCCGCTCCACCCTGACCTTCCCGGAGAAGTGCGGAAACCTTCCGAGCCGCTGCGCTTCGTGGACCGGCATGGTGGCCTTGACAAACCGGAGGTCCCAGCCCTGCTGGCTCAGGACGTACGCGGTCTGGTCGTCCAGGCCCCCGGTTTCGAGCTTCGTGTTCATCCAGGCTTGGAGGAGGAGCGGGGGGATCTCGTAGCGGGCGATGCCTTCTCGGCCGCGCTTGTTGTTACACTGGGAGGATTTTTAATAAGATTACTGCTTGGTTGATGGGGGATTTAATGGTTGGGAGGGAAGGAGGGGAGGAGGTGGAAAAAGCTTACTACGCAAATCGCGAGAGGCGGCGTCTCGAGTCCTTCGTTGACGTATTTCCATCGTGTGATGTAGTAGGCGAAATAGGCGCCTTCCTTGGCACGGGCATGCTCGCGCGACAGAGGGAAGTAGCAGTCGCCTAGGAAGGTGCTGTAGTTTGTGGTTTCTTGAGTCAGCTTTTTGTTGATGGATAAGGGGCGCTTGATACAGCACTACCCTCGGGATAGGGGGGGGGGACCGGGTGGAACGTACACGTCTCCATTTCGATCGGATGGGAAATCTTCGAGGAGTTTCAGCATAAACCAGAATATGTCCGCGTCGGTTTGATCGCGGTACAGGTCATTGCGGACCGCCTTGAAGAAATCGGACAGCTTGATCTTTCCAGGGGATCGCTCCGGGTCCTCTACAGGTGGGATCTGCCATTGGGCTGAGCGGCGTCGGAATTCTGGGCAGAACGAGATATGGGTTAGTTTTGTTATTGGCATATTGGCATATGAACGTCGAGTGCCGTTGTGATTTCGTGGGTGTAGGACTGCGTACCAAGATCATCATCCGATGGCAAGAACTTCGCATCAACTATGGCCTCGAAGGGAACCTCTTCTTGGACATCGACCTCGGCGTTGACAACGATTGGACCCTCCTTGCACGGGAGGGTCTGGTAGATCAATTGCTCGACAGCGAAGTTGGTGCCACAATTTTGACTGCCTGCGTCTGCTTCACTCTCAATTTGCGACTTGCGCTGGTAGGATTGCGGGGCCTCTGGGGCACTGCTGCCACTGATAAAACCCAACGCCGCTTGTTTGGAGACCAGACGTAGTCGAACCCCCACCTTGAAGCTGTAACGTTGTGGCTTGGGCTTTGATTTGGAGACTTTTGCTGGCTTGCGTTCTTCTAAAACTTGGAAGATCTCACGGCTCACTGGGCCTTTCGAGCGGAGCTGATACCTGCGGCGACTTGCTGCCCCTGTCTGGGATTGGGTTTGGCGTTGTGCTGGCATCGGTGGCCACTTGACTCTAGAGAACTAATACAGCTTGGTTTGCGAACAATGATTGAGACGGACAATTGTTATGATGAATAGTGACCAATGTATCTACCTACAGGAAAAAGAGCAGCAGCCAGATGGCGGCTTCGTATGATTTAAAAGGGCGGACATTTTCTCTATAGACGTTGAGAACAAAGACCATTGAGGACAAGTAGACAATCGAATTCTTTCACACTTTCCATCCGTTTGGCTGTCTCGAAGGGCTTTGTTGCTCATGGGGAAGTATGAACAAAGGCTGCCAATTGGGTATTCGACGCCACTTGGAGAACGGACAATGGGGTTTAGAAGTACCTTGTCAGGGCTTGCGTGTTTTGTCAAAGAAAGGTCTGCAAAGGGATCTAGCGCAAGTTTCATGGCAACAGGTTGTAGGATGTGTGACTATCTAACAATTCTGGTAGGTGAATCGAAAGTAGAAGCAAGGCCGTTCTTACCACGAAGGAAGTGGTTCCTGCATGTTGAATATGCATTAGAGATGAGAATCCTCCCCAAGCATTGGGACGGAATAGATCTCCACTCGTCACCCTTAACAATGAGGTATACATACTGGAAGCGGCGCGTGAATTAGACCAACTCCCCTTCGGTCTTAGAAAGAGAGTTTCCTTAGCAGAGAAAGCATATGAAGGTATATTTGTGTCCTGGTGACTTAATGCTCGAGTCAATGTGATGAGATCGGTTCAAACGTCATCGAATCCAGACTTTCCGCTTATACTTTACCAGAAACAAGTCTCACGGCTCATTCCAGCCTCCCAGCCTCTGAATTGACTTCGAAGTATCCCCACGATAAGAGTGTTCACTATGCTTGACGCAGTTGTGATGCAGCATGAGTGTCGTTGTATGAGGTCTGCTGCTGAATGCAAGAGTAGGAGTGGCGAACTGCTGAGCACGCACATATAAGTGAAGTAGATCTTGACATGTTTCGATCAGGAGCAATCCCTCAATATTGATACACCATCTCCTTTAGCAATCAAGTATATCACTTATCTTACTGGAAAGTAACCAGGTCGTGGTTGAAGACCTGAAACTAAGGTCTAACCTTTTCTAGGTCCATTCTCGAACACACCATGCCGTCCTCCAAAACCGACACAGGCATCCGACTCCCTCAGAACGATGACCAGACTCGACGTCTGAGAAGCACCACTCAAGATCAGAAAGCTGCCTCTCGACTGCAGGACGCCTCTCTCTCAGGAAGCACAAGGGCTGCAGCTGCTGATCCGACTTCAAGCTGGACACCGGAAGAGATGTTCGAGTCTACTGTCAATCAATACAGCGATCCAATCCCCGATCGATACTCGTTCACCGACGGGGCTAGAATGGAGAGAGGAGCTTATGGTAACGATGAAGCGGATGCATTTGAGGCTGCGAACGACGAATTTGATTAAGTCTTCATGTTGTGATCATGGTTTGGCTGAAATGTGCGCGCTTTCATGGGTACCTCTGCACTGGCTAGACTATCCAACGGCCCATAAATTAGTTTCATTTATCAGTATCGACAATATCGAAAATCGTGACACTTGTATCCATAGATACCTAGTAGTTGTTTTCTATAGTGGGGGAACTAAAAAAGTCCACTGGACATGGCTGGCAGATCGATTCCGTTGTACGGATTGCCGAGTCGCTTTCCGCGGAATTGGCCTGTCCTATCGGCATGTGACTTTCCCGCTTATCGACAAGCTTCTCCGCATCCGCCATTTACTCCGACATCTTTCTTCCCCTTCCCTTCTTCTTTCCTCCTTTCTTACCATTCAATCTTTTCATATTTCACCATCATAACTCACAATGTCTTCTATCCGCTCTACAAGTCGTGGTCTTCGCCTTTTGGCTGCCAATTCGCGCTCTCGCAGCGTAGCTCTGTTGTCACAACCCCTCATTGCTTCTCCCCGCCTTCTCCGCTCCGCCGCCGTCTCTCCGACTTCTACTGCTCGCCCTCGTCTTGCAATTGCTCCGTTGCGCGCAAACGGCGGCTTGCGCTATGCATCCTCTTCAAGCTCCACCGGCTCGCTGAAGAAAACGCAACTGTACGATATCCATGTTGCAAACGGCGCAAAGATGGTGCCTTTTGCGGGGTTCTCGATGCCCCTCCAATACTCCGACCTGAGCCATGTTGAGAGCCACCACTGGACCCGCGAAAAGGCCAGTTTGTTTGACGTTAGCCACATGTAAGCTCCAGTGCCCGACCATCTACCTTTAGTTTATTCTTGCTAACACAGACATGCAGGGTTCAGCACCACTTGAGCGGCCCCGGCGCCCTGGAACTTCTCATGAAAATCACGCCCTCCTCCCTCGACAAGCTCAAGCCCAACACATCGACCCTCTCTTGCCTCCTCGAAGATGGCACAGGCGGCATCCTTGATGACACTGTGATCACCCGCTTGTCTTCTGATACCTTCTACTTTGTTACCAACGCTGGCCGCCGCGCTGAAGATCTTGCCTTCCTCCAAGCTGAGATTGACATCTACCGGTCTACTCACGGCCCTGAGTCTATCAACTGGGAAATTCTCGATGACCGTGCTCTCGTTGCCCTGCAGGGTCCTCTGGCTGCTTCTGTCCTTCAGCCTCTGGTCAAGGACTTCGACCTCAGCAACCTCTACTTCGGCAACTGCCGGTCGATCACTTTGACATTTCCCGATGGAAGCTCGAGTGCGGAGCCCCTTCTGGTCTCTCGCACTGGCTACACGGGTGAGGACGGTTTTGAGATTAGCATCCCCACTGCTAAGGATCCTTCCCTTCCCCGCCGTGTGACAGAGCTCCTTTTGTCGAATCCTGAGCAGGTGCGCCTTGCCGGTCTCGCCGCTCGTGACTCTCTCCGCCTCGAGGCAGGCATGTGTCTGTACGGCAGCGACATTTCTACTTCGCAGACGCCTCCCTCTGCATCCCTGACCTGGCTTGTGGGCAAGGAGCGTCGCGATCCCGCCACCGCCAAATTCAACGGCGCTGCTACGATCCTTCCTCAAGTCGCTTCCCCTGCCAAGACTCTTTCCCAGCGCCGGGTGGGATTCACCGTCGAGAAGGGATCCCCTGCTCGCGAAGGCGCTATCATTGTGGATCTCAACGACGAGTCCCGTGCGCAGATCGGAGTGATCACCTCCGGCCTGCCGAGTCCGTCGCTCGGAGGTGTGAACATCGCGATGGGATACATCAAGAATGGCTTGCACAAGAAGGGAACCGAGGTGGGAGTGTTGGTCCGGAATAAGGTCAGAAAGGCCACGGTCACCGGGATGCCGTGGGTTGAGAGCAAGTTCTACCGGCCCAAAGCTTAGATTGGAAACTGTTTTCGAGGACTCGTTACATGGATAGACATTAGGTGTTTTCAGCGTCTGTTTTTGCTTCATCTGGGTACGATGTTTTAGATTCCCCAGTCTCTTGTTTTGCGATGATGGTATGACGTCAAGTCCAGTTTGCACTGTACTGTACATACAAAGTTTATGTTTTGGCCCTCTGCATGTTTTAGCTTCAACCAGTGGATATTCGAGGCTCACCGCTTGGTGATTTCAACTTCTGCCTCAAACAATTAAGAATTAATCGCATAGAAAAGCTTTTTTATAAAGGTGTAGCGTCATCCAGGAGAAATAGCGTCTGTCTGTACCCCAACGCGATAAGACTGTTGATGCCTTGGGTATCAGGCGCCCCACAGCATGTTTGGGACATTTGCATCATAGTCACGTGCAGATAGCAGATAGCCTTCTGTTTACATCCTTACGTGCCGTGGTCACCAATCGCTCTATCCCCATCCTATACCTTTAATTGTTTTAAACCAGGTATACAATCGCCAATATCCCAATCTCTGCCTCGAATGACCTCGCGAGCGACAACTCAACAAAGAATGGGCATCGACAGCACCGCCGAAGACGTAAGCTCCGATCTCAATCCCCTCTACCCTCTCCGCGCGGAGCCTACCCAATTGCCCCAGAAACGCAAACCGAAGACTTGCTTCCCCCCCTTTTCAACATGAACACAAACCACTAACCCCGCCGCAAAAACAGTATGATCTAAGTCTACATACCCTCTCCCTCGAGAGAGAATATGACCAGACCGTGAGCACCGCGGCGCAGCTCCTCGACCAGGAGGCCCGCCGCGTCCACCGGGTGGACCAGCTGCTGCTGCAGTTCGAGAATGAGAACCTGCAGCTGCAACTCGACCAGGCGCGCCAGGAGATCGGGCGGGTGCGCTCCACCGAGCTGGAGATCCTGGGGAGGTTGAATCAGGTCGCGCTGGAGCGGGACCGCATCCAGCAGACGGTGTATGTGCTGGGGCACGAGAAGGAGAATCTTGCTGTAAGTTTGACGCTCTTCCTCTTTTCCTTGCTGCTTTTCGTTTATTGAGTCGGGGTCTTGGGGAGCGGATGGAGGAGAGGGGCTTTTTTTCTCCTTGCTGTTGTGTTTGTTTGGTGCATCGTTGGATTTCTGTTCGTGCCAAGGCATTTGCTAAAATTTCCGACCAGCGAGAGCTAGAATCCATGTCCGACACATCCGTCGAGGTGAAAACCTTGATGACGGAGAAGATGCGGCTGGCCAAGGAGTTGGCCGGGGTGCAGACCGAGGTGCAGCGGTTGCAGTCGGTGGAGAGCTCGTCGCAGACCCTCCTGGCGGAGAAGCAGACGCTCTCACGGCAGCTGAGTTCGCTGGAGGTGGAGCTTGAGAATGAGAGGCGCGCGCACGAGCGGACGCGTTCTGCTCGCGGGGGGTCTGAGCAGCAGCAGCAACAGCAGCAGCAGCAACAACAACAGCAACAATTACAACAACAGCTACAAAAACAGCAGCAACAACAACAAGCAGCCACTGCAAAGTGGAATGCAGAGAAAGCCGCGCTGGAAGACAAGATCGAGACGCTTACGAAAAAGCTCCTCGCGACCAAGGATCAGCTCCGCAAGGCCCAAATCAATAACAGCAACAGCAGTAGCTCCATCCAGCAGCAACCTCTCCAGGCCGGGACGAGTATCGTCCCCGTCAAATGGTCGAGGGAGCAGTCCTCGACCGACCGATATGCGGCCGCCGCGCGGATCAACCCGGAATTGACGATCGCGACGCCCGGCGCGGTCCGCGCCAAGAACGCGGAGAGGGAGAAGCGCGCCGCGGCCGTCGCAGCCCTGCCCGGCGAGAAATCCGCCTTCTCGATCACCCCGTTCCTGAACCGGACCACCGGTGCTCCGTCGGCTGAAGCAGATTCCAACGAGAATCATGCCGACAACGCCAACAACGACAGCGACCAGGAGTCCTCCTCGCTCGAGGACAGTATCATCCGTGAACCGGATGTCCCCGCCCCTACTACTACTGCTGCTGCTGCTGCAGCAGCAGCAGCACAAAGACCCCGCCAACTATCCCTGGGCTTGGGCAAGGCACGGCCGGAAAAGACCACCGCTGCCAATACCACAACTACAGCGACAGCTGGCAATTCGCGAAGACCGAGACAGGCGTCGAGGCGGCTGGATCCGATCGACGACGACGACGACGATGACATCTTTGGCGCGGGAAATGTCTCGATGCTGGCCAAGCCGCAGGTCCGCAAGCGCAAGCTGGGCGGGCAGCAGAAGAAGCTGATCATCGATGAGGAGGACGATGATATGGACTTTGATTTCCGGAAGGCGGGCACGGCGCGCGGCCGGGGGTTCGGCGGTGTTCCGGCCTTTTCGCCGTTGAAGCGCGATAGGAGGTGAAATTCCCTTTTGGGTTCTGGAGTTCGCAGGGATGTCTATATATCTTTCCTTCTACGGGTATCAGGCGGGCTTAATGCGCTAATCTAATCTGGAAATTGGATGACTTGAACGTGGTCAGTCATGGTGCCCTGGCGATGTGGCCGCCGCCGTGTGGATTTACTGAGGATGTCAGCTCGGTCTAGTACGCCAAGTAGCTCGGTAGACTACGATTCCATGCAGGGTCCGACTAGTAAGTATATTCGTGGATTTATGCCATTTGATTAAGTAGCACTTATACACATATGCAAGATGATTCGGCTTGTAGCAGCCATTCATAAGTTGCCCGTAGATCATCCAATGTTGACCACAAACCAACGAGGGGGTGCTCCAAAACAAAGGATCTGTTACACCAAAGGCTTATGTCGTGAGTACATACTCATTAGTGCACGGCACTCTGGTCACGGTAGAAGTCACAGGCATGGGGATGCTGCAGACAATACTTGGGCACGAGCGGGCTCGCCTGCACGCCGTTGGCGACGAGGTACTCGCGGAAGTTCAGGATGCGCTGGGTCATCAGCGTGGTGCGCTTCTGGCCCTGCTCGTCGCGGTTGCCGGACCAGACGAGCTCGGCCAGGGCCGCGGCGCGGGGCCAGAAGCGGCTGGAGACGGTCACGTCGTCGACCTGCTCGGACCACAGCGGCGCGACCGCGCCGATGACGTGCGCGGCCTGGGCGTCGGTCAGGTTCGTGGTGAAGTCGTAGTCGTAGATGCGCTGCCAGGTCTTGTAGGGCCCGCACCAGCTGCCGCCGTTGCCGCCGTAGTTGAAGTTCGGGGTGCTGGGGTCCGGGTTGCTCATGACGTTGTAGCGGGGGTCGTTGGTGATGAAGCCGCCGAAGCCGCAGTCCAGGTACATGAAGTCCGACGACGAGACGATGACATCGTAGCCCTGCGTTGTCAGCTTGCTGATGTAGTCCAGCCCGTTGTTCCACGACTGCATGACGATGTCGGTGGGGACGTCGTGCGCGTGCTCGGTCGAGAGCACGATGTCCTCCCACATGACCAGTCGGCGCGAGGCGCTGTAGTTGCGGAAGATCGGGACCGCGTTGTCGATCCAGTGCTGCGCCAGGTCGTTGTAGGTCCGCGAGGGGTCCTCTTGGAACCACTCCGTCACGTACGTGCTGAAGTTGAAGCAGTTGGCTTGGATCTCATCCGCGCCGACGTGGAACCAGTTGTCAGGGAAGATATCCGAGAGTTCGTTGTACACGTCCCGCACCACATCGTATGTGCCGGGGTAGATGATGTCCAGCTGGCCCGGGTTCGGCTCGACTGCCGTGTGCAGAGCCCAGTCATCGTTCGACCACCACGAGTTGATACAGGTTACCATCTCTGGATCCGCGTTCTTCCATCCCGACGAGGAGTGACTGGGCATGTCAACTTCGGGGATCACCCGGATGGCACGAGCACGGGCATACGCAACCACACTGCGCATATCTGCATGAGTGAAGATCTCGCGCGGCGAGTACGCATCCTGGATCATCTCGGGGTGGGAGTCGATCTGCACGGGCCAGGACTGGGTGTCATCGAGGTGCCAATGCAGGACGTTCAGCTTCGAAAGTGCCATTCCGTCCAACTGCTCGTAGATCTTGCCGACGGAGATGAAGTTCCGTCCCGTGTCAATCATGATGCCACGGTACGGATAGAGGGGTGCGTCTTGGATTGAGACACACTGTTCGATGATCAGGCCACCCGAGCCGTCCGAGATGATCAGCTGCTGAAGGGTGGTGAACGCATGAAGCGCTCCCCAGACCGTCGCGGCCCTGATATCAATCGTGCTGCTCCCCTCAGTCAATTCAAGAGTGTAGGACTCGTCGACACCATGTTGAAGGTCCGCAGTGATGTCTTTCACTTCCACGTCGACATATTGCACCGAGGGCGCTGAGACGCGCTTAATTCTCTGAGCGGCCTTGGGAGATGCAGTTGGGAAGGGCTGGAAGCTTGAGATGGGGGCTTCGGTGGCGGCAGGTACCCACTGCAGGTCCACTATGGTGTTCCAGGCGCGATTCCAGGCATTGGCGAGGATGTTGTCGTCGGTGTCGTTAGGGGCGCGTAAAGTCACAAAACCAGCCAAGTGCTTGGGTCCAGACGATCCCCAAGTGATGTTACGCGGGGCAGGCAAGGGGTTCACTGAGACAGCGGAGGCCGTAGCCAGTACTAGAAATACTGGCCAAAGGCGACAAACCAACATTGTAGACGGATATCCGATTCAAGATAGACGGGAAGTGGGAGATTGAAGGGTGGCACGGAAGCAAGAGAAGAAAGAAATAAAGAAAGGTAGATCAGAGAAGAAAAAGGCCAGGTGATGGATGGCCAAGGCACCTCCAGGACAGGGGGTGCAGAAGAGGGGGCGGATCAGCATTCCAAGGTGTTTGCTGCTGCATGTTTAGCTTAGATTCACTTGCGCGAAGTATGATAGAGTAGTTGGCGTGAATGCGGGTGAATCGGTGCTAGACTAGTAGCTGGCAGGGTGGTACTACTACCAAACACTAGTCGACAGAAGATGAAAGGGTAGTATTTGAGTGGAGACGTGAGACTATCTACAGCCTACGAGTAGAGGAAAATTGATAGGAGATAAAGTGCGGAGTAACTTTAGGAGGGAGTAAGTTAGTCAGTAGTACATACAGTAAAACTTACAACAAACATCGCAAACAAACAAACCAAGCAATTCTCAAGCCTCAGGCCGCTAGTGTATGCCTTACGGGTCTGTTTCCCGATCGGTTTCATTTTCGCTTAGCCACTTAATGCCAGACCACACTACTCATACATACCTAGTACTTACGTCTGTACCTTAGTACTGTGGACTCCAGTCAGAAGTCAGAACGTACCATGGTAGGTGGTGCAATCAACTGTTCTGAGTGGGCCGCTATAGCAGCTGTCATATTACCAGTGACGGCGCCCACTACGTCATTTACCGGCAACCCGGTTTAAAAATGATGATGATTTCATACTTCCCCTCTATCCACTGTGTTGTTTATTTACTGCTGCTCGCCTTCTCGAAAGAAAAGAAGATACAGTGCTGCTACTACAGACTCCCTATTCTTTTTACCCATCCTCCATACAAGGCCTGTGCGCTTGACTCTCGTGCACTACTGCCAGTGCCGACCTAACAATGTCCCTCAACACGGCGACCGGCGTGGCGACTAGCGGCCTACAGGGCCGACCCCCTAAGTTGACCGGGGACGTCAAGTCTACGGTTCAACAGGGCCACAAGACGGTCAACAAGACTGCCCAGAATACCACCGATTCGGTGCTGCCCGGCCAGTTTCCTGGAGACGAAGACGGAGTCAAGTCCGCCCAGCGCGATCAGAACAATGACGGCCCGATTCTTTCTCCTATGCGCGACTGGTATCGTCGCTGGGTACCCCGAATGTTCGACAAGATGGAGTCATACCTCATGGGCTGGCTCTCCTGGCTCTTGCCGGGACCACGACAAGCCCGGCTGTACGACGCCGCATCCAAGCGGCCGGCTAGTACAACCTTCCTCATCTGCCAGCTGCTTTGTTGCGGAGTCCCGTTGCTCGTCTTCCTGGCCGGTGTCTTTTTGTTCGCTGCCGTGGCAATTATTCTCTGGTGTGTTCTGTCGCTGCTCATCCTCGGTCCGGTCCTCTTGGTGGCTAGCATGATGGGTGTCTCGCTGTGGGGCTGGGGCTGGTTCTTCTACAGTGTCATCAAGTGGGTCGATCAGACCTATCTGGGTGGTATGCTTTCTCGGTTCTGGATGTCGCGAAGCTCGTCCGATGACGACGACGACGAAAACTCGGGCAAGGAGGAAGGGAAAGAGAAGGGTGGTGAGAAAAAGGAAGGATGAGCAGAGCCAAATGACGACCAAGATTGTGGAAGGGGTGCGGATATGGAGGAGTGGTCATTGTGGAGTCAGAACGGTCTAGGGAAATTGAGCCATCGATGTATAGCCCGGTCGCTGTTCATTGAATTCTTGTAATTATTTTCTGACAAATTCACACTTATTCTCTCATAGATCATTAGGAGACAAATGATTCCCTCAGCTTTGACCAAGTCGCTGTCAGAAGACCCTTCTCAGGCAGCTGATAGCTGCAAAATTCATTCCACTCCCACATCTTATGCGCCTGAAGACTGCTGGTCATCTCTTTCCACTCCTCGGGCTGGGGATAAGGAGACTTGTCAAAGACCAGACGCATGGCCCATCTTGAGGCATCTCCACCTTGTCTGTCACCCGCTCCATCATGCTGCGTAAGGAATGATCCTCGTTCCAATCGTACGGTGAAAAGCTTGGGCTCAAAAGCCTCGTCGGTGAGTAGAGCTTCGTTGATGCGGCGGCCAGGTGGAACATAAGTTTCTGGAGTCTGTCGCTTGGAGAGTCGGATTTCAATCTCGAGTTCGCTAAGAAGGCCATCGGCGGTGGTCGCAGCAACCTGCTCGAGAGAAGCTGGGCGCAGAGATCTCCAATGCAACTCCGCCATAATCCACACCTGTGTTTCGTAACGACAGATCAACTGGTCCCGAGTTAGCTTTCATGATCTCGCGGACATGAAAAAAAGGGGTAAAGCCTTACGTGGCCAGCTCCGTTTGGATGAAACCTAATCTCATTGCTCTGCATGGGATCCCAGAACCAGGATTGTCCGGTGAGAATTGACAGGACGGATTCACTTGATTCGCTCATATTGTCTCGACGAATACCACCGAGTTTCAACTCTGGTAAAACAGAGGGTCTCAGGAAGAAACGGGGAGGAAGCGGTTTGATATATGATGATGCCTTTTGACGTGGGGGCCTTTTACTGTGGCTGTTCAAACTGCCATGCTGGTAAGGCTGACAGACACCAGACCCTGAGACGCTAACCTATTTGGCATGTTTGGGGCTGAAACTGACACAGCCCCCTAGTCTCGACATCCAAATGAAGCTGTGCTGTCAGTTTCCGACTTTTGTGCAGTGTAGATGTACGTCCCAGGATGTTGTTAACATAGGGGAATAAGCTTAAGTAATCTGGGACCAGATGAGGCTTTTGCTCAGATGTATCTGATCGCGGCCGGGCCGGCAATGCAGTCTGATTCAACTAGGATGGCAGAGATGATAGGCCAAGCCGATCAGCCGCCCTAAGTTCTGAGTCTCTCATTACTATTCACTCTAACATTCCTATCTACGTGCATTATCTTTGGTCTTCTGCTTTATCATGGCTATCATGGGCATAAAGGACGGCGTTATCGGGCCGGGCTCTCCGCACGCCCCGCCGTCATCGGCCCGACACGTGACCCTGGGCCAATGAGACTCTCTGTGGAGTAAATACAGCCGACTGACGACATCCGAAGCTTATCAACAATTCCCCAAAGCGGGATTGTTATTTGAACCCCACGATTGCCCCTCGTTGACTTCCCCTCAACCATTCTACACTTCTCTTAATTACTCTTTGCCAACCCTATTGTCTTGTCTCGCAGTGATATCCGGCAAGATGACCGGGTCTGAAGACAAGATTACCATTTCCATCGACCGTGGCGGTACCTTCACCGACGTACACGCCGTCGTGCCCGGTCGCCCCGACATCATCCTCAAGCTACTATCCGTTGACCCCGGCCACTACCAAGATGCACCCACCGAGGGTATTCGCCAGATCTTGGAGCTCGTCACAGGCGAGCCACATCCACGAGGGGAGCCTCTCAAACTAGACCGCATCAAAAGTCTTCGCATGGGGACGACAGTGGCTACCAATGCACTGCTGGAGCGCAAGGGCGCTCGGTCAGTCCTTCTCACCACCAAGGGCTTCCGCGATCTGCTCCGGATCGGTGATCAATCCCGTCCCAACATCTTCGATCTGTCCATGGCGAGACCTGGCGTCCTGCCGGAGAGAGTCGTGGAAATTAACGAGCGGGTGGTCCCCTGCCACCCGCTTGCAGACAAAGACTGCTTCTCTGAAGCTCGAGTCGTCGAAGGCACAACTGGGGAACAGTTTCGGGTGGTACAGGAACTTGATATCGACGAAGTGCGGCGGGTCCTGCAGGAGTTGAAAGACCAAGGTTACCAGTCATTATCGGTCGCGTTGGTCCATTCATTCGCGTACCCTGAGCATGAGCGCCAGATTGGTGAGGTGGCTGAGAGCATGGGCTTCTCCGTGACCTTATCTTCGAAACTACAGCCAATGATCAAGGTTGTCCCTAGAGGCATGTCTGCCGCGGCGGATGCCTATCTCACCCCTGTCATCAAGACCTACATCGACTCTATCTCGGACAGCTTCGAGGGCGGTCTTGAGAAGCAACACGAATGTCGCTTCGAATTCATGCAGTCAGATGGTGGCCTGGTAGATTTCCGCAGGTTCAGCGGGCTGAAAGCGATTCTATCCGGTCCGGCTGCTGGCGTGGTCGGATTCGCGGCAACCAGCTGGGATCCGAAGGAGAAGACCCCAGTCATCGGATTTGACATGGGTGGCACATCGACAGATGTATCCCGCTACGATGGACATCTTGAGCATGTGTTTGGATCCAAGGTTGCTGGTGTTCTTATCCAATCTCCGCAATTGGACATCAACACTGTGGCCGCTGGTGGTGGTTCCATCCTCTCGTGGCGGAATGGTCTCTTCTATGTCGGACCCGAGTCAGCATCAGCCCACCCTGGCCCTGCTTGCTATCGCAAAGGAGGGCCGTTGACAGTCACCGACGCAAATTTGTTCCTTGGTCGGCTGTTGCCAGATTACTTCCCTCACATCTTTGGAGAAAATGAGGATCAGCCACTCGACCTCGAGGTCACCACGAAGCTTTTTAAAGAACTCACAGAGAAGATCAACTCCGAGCGGAAGGAGAAGGGCCAAACAGAGTTCACTGCAGAAGAGGTCGCATTGGGATTCCTAAAGGTCGCAGATGAATCAATGGCGCGCCCAATCCGCAACCTTACCGAAGCCCGTGGCTTTGAAACTGCTTCCCATCATCTTGCATGCTTCGGTGGTGCAGGAGGGCAGCATGCCTGTACGGTTGCTGCCTCATTGGGAATCTCTCGCATCATTATTCACAAGTTCTCCTCTGTCCTATCTGCGTACGGTCTGGCACTGGCCGAGGTCGTCAAGGAGTCGCAAGAGCCCCTCTCCACCGAATACTCGACTTCCCGCTCCACTCTCGACAAACGCTTCGATGATTTGATTCAAGCGGCCGTGAAGGATATGGAGAGTCAAGGATTCTCAGCTGATCAAGTTCGACACGAACTTTATCTCAACTTGCGCTATGAAGGCTCAGACACAAGTCTCATGATCTTGAAGCCTGAAGACGACTCCGACTTCCTGGAGGAGTTCAGTGCCAGACATCGCCGAGAGTTTGGCTTCAACTCCGATCGGCCAGTCTTGGTGGACGATGTCCGCGTTCGTACGATTGCTTGCTCCAAAGTGCGTGAGGAAGTAAGCCCTCTGGTACAGCTCCGCGAAGCCACAATCAAGGATGTTAGCGGTGACCCAGACACTATCTCGAAAGCCTATTTCGATGGCAAATCCGAGCGAATCGATACTCCGGTGTACCAGCTGAACAAACTAGACAAGAACACTCGAGTACACGGTCCAGCAATCATCATTGATGAGACGCAAACAGTTGTGGTTGCGCCTAATGCCGAGGCCAAGATTCTGGATACTTGCATTGTGATAGATCTCCAGGAGCTACCAAAGAGCAGTGAAGATGAAGCTACATCTTCCTCTGGTATTGATCCTATCCGCCTCACTATCTTTGGTCATCGCTTCATGTCCATCGCCGAGCAGATGGGCCGAACCTTGCAGAAGACGTCCGTGTCGACTAACATCAAGGAGCGCCTGGACTTCTCTTGTGCCCTCTTCTCTCCCGATGGCGGCCTGGTAGCCAACGCGCCCCATGTGCCTGTTCACCTTGGCTCCATGCAGTTTGCTGTACGCTACCAACACCAGAAGTGGCTGGGCAAGCTTCAGGACGGCGACGTCTTGGTAGCCAACCACCCTAGCTGCGGTGGAACTCATCTGCCTGATATTACTGTACGTGATTCTTTGAACATATTTTAGTGGACAGGACTGACCTTCAACTAGGTAATTACTCCTGTATTTGACAGGCCCGGTGGTAGCGAGATCATGTTCTATGTCGCCTCTCGCGGTCATCATGCCGACATTGGTGGTATTCTCCCGGGGTCCATGCCGCCCAAGTCGACCGAATTGTGGCAGGAAGGTGCTGCCATCGAAGGTGACAAGATTGTCAGCAACGGTGTGTTTGATGAGAAGCGGATGATCGAGCTTCTGGTTCACAAACCCGCGCAATACCCCGGTTGCTCTGGAGCTCGTTGCATCTCGGACAACCTGTCGGATCTGAAAGCACAGATCGCCGCCAATACCCGTGGTATCTCCTTGATTCAGGCTCTTTTTGCAGAGTATGGAGTTGAGACGGTTCAGAAGTACATGTATGCCATTCAGGCTACGGCCGAGACTGCGGTACGCAATCTGCTGAAGGACCTCCACAAGAAGTTTGGTGGTCAGCCATTGGAGGCAGTTGACTACATGGACGACGGGACCCCGATCAAGCTGAAGGTCACTATCAACGGAACCGATGGGTCCGCGGTGTTCGACTTTGAGGGCACTGGTCCGGAAGTCTACGGAGGGTGGAACGCGCCGATTGCCATCACCCACTCGGCCATCATCTACTGTCTTCGATGCATGATCAACGCGGACATGCCTCTGAACCAAGGCTGCCTGGCCCCCATCGACATCCGGGTACCCTCGCCCAGTATCCTCTCGCCCACGAAAGCGGCAGCCGTGGTCGGAGGCAACGTGGTCACCTCCCAGCGTGTCACCGACGTGGTGCTGAAAGCGTTCCGGGCGTGTGCGGCGTCCCAGGGCTGCTGCAACAACCTGACCTTTGGCACGAACTCCAAGAAGGACCCGGACACGGGCGAGACCATCCCGGGCTTCGGGTACTACGAGACCATCGCCGGCGGCAGCGGCGCGGGGCCGACCTGGAACGGCGAGTCCGGCATCCACGTGCATATGACCAACACGCGCATCACAGACCCCGAGATCCTGGAAAAGCGGTACCCGACGCTGTTGCGCCAGTTCACTCTCCGCGACGGGTCCGGCGGCCAGGGCAAGCACCCCGGTGGCGATGGGGTCGTCAGAGAGGTCGAGTTCCTGTCCCCGATGGAGGTCTCTATCCTCTCGGAGAGACGGGTCTACCGTCCCTATGGTCTCGAGGGAGGCGACGATGCTCAGCCTGGAATGAACCTGTGGGTGACCACGGACCCGGATACCGGGGTGGAGAGGAAGGTCAACATCGGAGGGAAGAATACCGTCTCTATGAAGACGCATGACCGCATTGTGATCATGACGGCCGGTGGCGGTGGTTGGGGTGCTGTATCTGCTTGATTTGATGGAGAGTGGGTGAGATGGACAGCGTTGAATGGTTTATTCAGAGGATTGATGTTTTTGGTATAATGATGTATATGTCTAGCGAGGCGTTTTAGATCGATACAGTCGGTATGAATTGTATATGTGCAAGATAACTATTGTCCAGATCAAGCGTCAACCGATAGAGCTCAATAACAGTGCGGGCTGAACAAGTACGCGAGCTTTCAGTTTTCAGTAAGACGGAGACACGGGTATCGTACGGGACCGCTTCAGAAATGATACTGTCTGGTATTGTCGTAAGCTCGTAAGTAATACAGCACAGCTCGGCAGACCGTAC